CGAAGCAGATATGAAGTTAATTGCATCCACATTGTGGAAAAAAGTCGAGTGCTATTTTTTACTTCGAGTTTCATTTTTTCATTACGCTGAAAGTTTTCCTACGTAATCACCGAATTTGTGCAAACATTAACGCGACACGAATACCGTGCTCCCTTGAGCAATCAATTTAATCGTTCGTGACGTCACAAGACAGATGAGAGATGTCGTCATGGAAGACGGAGAACGTGTTCAACTTTGAAGCGACCTGTACGTAGCACGAACACGTATAACCCGGTGTTACACGTATGTACACGGGAATATTAGTACAATCCCCGCGTGTCTATTACGAGCGCAACCAACCACCGAAATTGTTTCATCCTAATCGTCATCTCCGGATCGTGGATTACGCGACGCCTAATTTCGTGGCTGTGTAAACAAACCCAATATGAGCGACACGACAGCAAGCCATCCTCTTCCCGTAAGACGTGGCATTTAATTTCCGGAATATGGCTCAGGACCTGTCGCGACAGCGAAACTCGGGCCGTTTTTCTTAAATTTCACTTCGGAGGAGAAACGTGAACGACAGGTATAGCGATCGGAGGATATTGCCATGGTATATTGGAATTCCATGAAATATTGCTACTATTTCAAGAAAATTAGCAAGCTGCCTGCATCTTTAACTGTTCTGGATTTATGGATCGGTTGAATTATCTACCGAATTCTCAAATTCAAGCTTCAACAAATTTACGAATTTTCAGAGTCTTTTATATTTCTAAATTAATCCTCAAACTTGTAAGTTCTTCATCCTCAAATTTAAATAATTTAAGTACGTTTGAGGAACGTGTTTTTATATTATTTCGACACGATTAATAGCTGTGAAAATATTCCGGCCTAAGAGTTAGAGTAGCCACGGATGACCCAAATAATTGAGTGCTCTGATAACCCCGATTCGACCGCCGTGGAAACAGGATAATTCGCTCGTGGGTTAAAGTACGAAGATGAGGGTGAAAAAAAAGGGAGTCAAAGTTAAAAGTTTCTCGGAGTAGTATATCCCCACTTTTCGTCCTCTCGTTGCGGCATGGTATTTTAACGAGAACTTTTGTGCATGCCGCTGAAAGGGAGAACTCGAAGCTCGCCGTTTTGAGGCGAAAAGAAAAAAAGATGACATGACAAAAATGCATCCGGATAATAAAGCCGTTGAAACCACAAAGGTATTGCAAATTGCTTCCATTTTAACCCTTCTGCAATATTCCGGTTTATATGAACGAATTTAAAGGTTCCTAATGTCATTTTCCTCTTCGTCCTTAAATATCTACATCCTCAAATATTTAAATCGCAAGATTTCTGTAAAGAAATTTCTATGCAGACATAGAAACTGATAATAAATATTAGAGCAACACTATGATCCTTGATCAAACATCTAGATCCTCAAATATTTAAATCGTAAGATTTCTGTAAAGAAATTTCTATGCAGACATAGAAACTAATCATAAATATTAGAGCAACACTATGATCCTTGGTCAAATATCTAGATCCTCAAATATTTAAATCGTAAGATTTCTAAAAAGAAACGTAGACGTAGAAACTAATCATAAATGTTAGAGTGGGTCTATGATCCTTGATCAAATAGTAAATATTAGCTGTAGGGTTTCAATTTAATTTGATCATAGACTGAATCGAAGCCGTGTATCGATATCATAAGTCAAAGGGTTAATCAAGATTGCGCAAGAGGATTAAGGCGACGAAAGTTGACTTCAAAGGCAGTAGCTTTCGCAAACGATTGCTCGAGGCGTAGCGTACCGGAGCAGAAATCCCTGGGAAACGTCGGTAAATTCGCGTAAACATGTCGTCGCAGCCGATCAGAGCGAGCTAGAATTTACAGATTGATGTTTGTGTACGAATCGACGAGCCAGCATGTTCGAATAAAATGTCAGAAGTCTCCACTTACGTCGTGCTGTCTCCAAACAAACTAAAATTGGAGAACCGTTCGAGGAATTTGAGAAACGAGATGTACGATTAACGATTGCGTGATCCATAAAATTAATAACGAGAACAGCTTTGAGTAAGGATAAAAGAGACTTTAGAAATAAAGATCAGAGAAACTTGATCCTCGCGAGAGAAAAATAAGGGCATACACGTTAGAAGGACGAAATGGCGACACAAAGCTGCTCCCTCTGTACATTACAAATGTAAATGGTCGCTTTCCTACCAGATGGTTCTAAAGTACATCTCATTTCGATTCAAGGGGTTGTCGCTTTTCGCGCGTTCTCCCTAGCGACAGCTCCCATTTCGAAAATTCCATTCTCCGTTCCTTCCACGATTCCCACGGAAAATTCAGCCGGCGTTTCCTTCTCTTATCCGACATGTTACTGAAAAATCTATCTACGATCGGAACAGAAAATGGTTCTGTCTTACCTGATGCCGATTAACCTCCATACTTCTCGAGAAAAATATTCAGAACTCGGACAACGCTTCGGGAGTATCCAATTTTGCACGAGTATCCAATTTAGAAATAAACGCGTCATTTATCAAGTGTTGACAATCCAGATTAATACACAACAGACGCTGCAGTACAAGGATTAATTATGCTACTCGTAGTAAACCGAGACAGTAGCTGGTTCAAACAATGCAACCGACTAACGGAGAACGAATTTATTCGTTGCGTGTCGTCTGTAGGGCGGTTTATCAGACAATGAACGAGAAATCCTCCGGCTGAAACTGGAGATCGTGCAGTTAGATTAAGAAGTACACGCGAAGATCGATGAGAACGAAATCGTAGTCCTTCGAGGCTATTTATCAACGAGGAAGCTGCACGGTGCGCTATTCTATTTAAAGAAATGTTAAGAGGAAATCAACAGGGTAAATAACATTATGTCGTAATTAGAATCGAGACTTGATCAACATTTCGATTCGGAGAAATTATACAGATGACTATTAATCGGAGCAATGTTATATTTATCTTGTTACACGAACTTTCGTATGCAAATTGTAAACGTTGCGAATGAATTTTCCGTTTTTACAACCCTGTTGCAATATAACGATGGCTGTTCCCATGCATGAGGGTTTCCTTCATTAAAAGAGTCAACAGCATAATAAATTACCTAAAAATTTTTAGAAAATGTGGCTGGTGTGGTAATTAATTTTTTGTTTAAGTTTGTACGTTTTTCCTGGACGAATTTATCGTTCCTATTATTCGTACCGCTAATTACATTTAAATTTCAAAGGGTTGAATACGAGTCCAATGTTTACCCTCCTTTTAAACTGCACAGGATTCATAGTATGTCAAAACCTACCGACTGTGTGGGTATTAACGTATCACCGGTGGAAACAGGTCACGTGAAACATGTATAACGCTAAATGGTCAAACAATTCATCGTAGAAAAAACTATGTCGTATATTTGTCGCCCGCGAATTATGGGTTACAGGATGGTTAGGTGTGAAATTTACGATTCTTCCAACCTACAGCGGTTTAGTTTAGACACATCGATGTCAGCTAATTCACATTAATAAAACGAGCAGATACTCTAAACTGTTTTTAATCCGAACTAGCATACAAGTGTCGGGCTCGAATTAATTTACGATCGGAACGATTTACGGTCGTTCGAATGATGGAAATAATTCCCTCGGTATATGAGGAATTTCAATCAATTTTTGATCGAAACGTTGCGTAGCGGCAGGTTAACCGCTTCACATTTTTTCATTATTCGAATTCGCAGGGGATGTCAAAGTATAGCTGCTAAATATAGGTAGTCTTTGAAGTAAGCTTATGGTCAAAACACTTATTTTGTCTATTAACTATTATAAATTACAGTCGTGACCTAATACAGAGACTAATTAAAATTTATCATTATTGTAACCAAGTCCAGAATTTCAATAACAATGTTGATTATCAAATTTCCATCTCGCAAACTTGAACGTGATTCGTAGATTCGAACAGTTTCGAAGTGGAAGCAATTAAGGGCGTTCGATCAATTTCCCGCGTTTCCTCAGTAACCCTAACCATTCGATCAACGTGACACGCTTTCAAATTTTTCCCGACCCTCGAACGTTCGGGGTCGAAATGGTTAACCGTAGGATGAAAGTTTTGCGACTTCTTCCGGCAGAGTAGACGTTTCTGAACCAGTCGTCTTAAGGAGTACACCCGTGATTGACGATCGACCGATGGAAACTTTACCAATATTCGAACGCCATATTTCTCGGAAGATGAAATGGGAGGCGAAACACCTCGAGAAAGAGGGTTGCAGCAACAAAGTGGAGACCCGTGCTTATCTCCAGAAATTCTTCCTTTACCCGGCCGCGGGCTTTGAATTTTCCACGAACGAAACTTTCGTAACGTTAAGTAATTGTTTGAGTGTATACTCGAAGAATTTTCGTAGTTTTGCAAACGAAATAACCACGACGGTAATGAAAATGTCAAAGAAGCGGGGTCAAGAGGAGCCCATTCTTGACCGCAGTCACCCTCTGTATATTCCGTGTGCCGGTTCGCAACTTTGTTTAACTTCCCGTGTGCCGGCGTGTTTCGTTGCGAGCCGTGATCCAATTTACCCTTGAATGCTTTATGCGTTTTCCGACCAACTGCGAATGCAACTTCGCTGTTTCGTTTATCCTACGGTTGCGGCAAGAAAGCTGCTGAACTTCTTCGCAAGTCAAATGTGTACGAAATGTCTGTAACTTATTCGAACCCTTGGAACATTTCAAAATTTCGCAACGAAGTATCGCATTAATAATTTCGTAAAATTCTTCGCTTAAAACGTCCAAAGTTTCGCGAAGTAACGAAGTACCGCCTCAATAATTTAGCTAAATTTCTCCTCCGGGTATATTTCGCAAAATAACGCAACAGCGTATCAAAAATTTAGCTAAATCCTTCGTCCAAAATTTATTTTAAAAAACCACGAAACAATCTCTGTGTCGACAAAGAAAGCTTGAAAATGTTCGAACTTCCTATCGACCACCCCCATCGATTCGTCTCAGAAACTTGGGAACCGTCAGGAACGGTATCGCAGCGGAGTAAATAAACTGACCTTGACTTTCTGGCATTTCCGGGCTGCGATGGATCTTGATTGCTTTCTGAGCGCCTCCAGAGGAAACCGCTTTCCACGGGATGCGTTTCACAGATGGTCTCCACCACCGCACTTCCTTCAACTTCACACTGTCGTTCGTGAAAAACTATCACCTGACCCGGTCACGAGACGGGAGGATCAACGGTGCTCACCAGGAACACCGAGAGGGCAACCGGAGCTGACATACGCGGTCGTTGCACGCGTCCTACGTGTCGCACGGTAGCACCAGTGATTAAGATACATTCAAGAGAAGGATCGAATCACGTTACGAGGACGAAAAATGAGCGGAGGACGTAAAAGACCCGTTCGACGAATCGGTCGCGGCGCGGTCTGGGCGGTGACTGAGCGAACCGAGTAGTCTCGCCGCACGGCATCTCACCCCCACCCCTTCTTTCTGTCTCGATATATCTGTTTCTCTCTTACACCGTTGTCTCGACATCCTGTGAGTCCGATGGATACTGTTTTTCGACCACCCGCTTCTGGATTTCCCGCCCGCCATTCGACGCTGTTGTTATTTACTTCTTTGCAGATAACTTATTGCTAACACTCTTTTCTTGCAACTTTTCTTCAACGTTGCACGGAAAATGTCTTTCGAACTTTTTTAACTTCCGTATTTCTTACGGTTCATGAAAATTAGGATTTGAAAGTGATGATCTAAAAATTTTCCCTATGAAAGTAAGTCTTTATGACTTTATGATGGATATCCACAATAGTTAATGATCTATCCTCCTCACGAGGAAGAATTAATTGCAAATTATTGTAACTGACAGTTTGTTAGAAAAAGCTCCATTAGGAAGATTACTGAAAGGATAAAAATTTAAGAATCTGCCAATCGTTTTTTTTCAGAACGGCAAATGCTAAGCATCTTTATTTGCAATTAGAAAATGCACTGATTAAAAAATTGCACTCGAATTACTGCAGAAATGGTGCAACAGTAATGTTCCCTGAGTTCAGTGAAAAAGGACGTAGATGACCAGACATATTTTACAAACAATCATTCAAAGCTTGAACCTATTTCCCTGTTTCTTTAGTTGAATTAACAATTATTTCTAGCTAGTTCTTTCGTATTCCGTGTATTTGCACAAACGAGTCAGAAATGGACGAAACAATATCATAGGTAAAATAATAGAGCCTCCAGCAATCGACCTAAATACATATAGTTAATTATGAAAGTATACGTAACTCTATAATAACATCGAATTCGACTTCTAATTTCTAGTGCACGAATTTAATGATCTTCAACGGTTAAAATTAAACGAGAGAACATCTTCGATTCCTGTTGGCCGATGCTCGAATAACATTAACGACAACGTTTCTTTAACCTTAATTGCTATCCGGAACGTTTCTTTCGGTTGATTATGCCGCGTTCGGGTGTCTGTTAATTGGAAGCTGTTCGAAATGGTCGAGACTCGTTGGGACTCGATTTCCCGTGATGGCACCATCTATTTCTGTCATTATAAACGCTATTTCCACCAAGTGGATGTCCGGTGTTTCCGAACTTCTCACGGCTGCATATTTCACGAAATTTTATTCTGGAACGTGCTTGAAGTCCGCGCGAATGGGATTAACGAAGGGGAACTGGCTCAATCAGAAGCTTCGATGTCTGTCGACTTCTTGTGACTGAAAGGGTCGAAGAAAAAACGAAGCGATAGACACGGTAGAAAATTGAATTTCAGTTAGCCTCGATACCTGAAGCTCCTTGAACATTCGCGACGTCTATTTCCTGACATTTGAAGCTCCCTTTAGAATTATTACCGTTATTACTTTCCCTTTTATTTGCAGCTGGAAATTTCGAGAGTTTGAAATTTACGAATTTGGAATTTTAGAAATGTGGAAAGAATATGAAAAGTAACCACCTTGATTTGTATCTAGTGCAGGTTTCACTTGTACATCTGCTCTGTTTGTTTTTATCAAACGAAATAGCCACCTTAAGAATGCTCTTCATGAAAATACTCGAGCCATTTATCTCTAAAAAAAAGTCCATCTACTTCTCTGGAAAAAAGAACGCGTCCCTCTGAAACCTCTTCCACCCCTAAAACCATGTAAATTCATTCTTCCCCTACAAAATAATGCAATCTCTTATCCACCCCTCTGTTTTCCTTTTTTCTAAATAACAGCTCATTTATTTGCAAGAAATTGCGGTCAAAGTTCGACCGCCATTTTCTTGTCAGTTTTAATTTAATCAGTCCAATATCGGGGCAGACTTCGTTAAATTATGCGCATGCATATTAAACGACTCGTCACGAGACAATTTTTAAGGCTACTCTTTATTCGTCGTGCCACGGCTAATTGTTCTTGGGGAAAAATGTAAATTCTTCGGCACAATTCTCTTTGCGAGAACACCGAGACACGGTCGACAAGTTTCCTCGTTGAAACTTAACTAGGGTACTCGACGCCGGATCGGTTAAGGATGCGCGATTACGCGTCGAGACGCTCTTAATCGTCCTACGTCGACTTCGCCTATCGTTCCCAACGGCAGCTCAACTTTCCACGATCCTGTGTGTTTCTAAACTTCCTCTTCCTGCTTAAAGATTCTCTTTCTGAATTCTAATATAATGCGAGCCAGAAATTCAGTCTCGTGACATTTTAGTAAATTGGAAAGGAACTTTCTTCCGCCTCTTTCGATTATTATATCTCTGGTCATAAAAATCAAATTTCACAAGTGTCAAGTACGACGGTCAAGATGGCCACTGTACAGTATAAAACCTTTCCCGCGATAATATAACACGTGACGATCTGACACTTACTTAATCAATCATGGTTTAATAAAATTCTTACCTTGAAATTTCATAAACGTATCAAGTAAACCGTATGATTCTTAACGAGATGAAATACATGTCACAACCTAATCACTGTAACACCACACTTGTCCACAATAATTTTCTTTTTAAACAATAACGTTGTAACGCACAAACGTCAAGTTTAAAGCACGAATAATTTCGATTTGAATGAATTTCCGCGTCACAGATCGAAGTGCCATCTGGACCCCTTCGGTAATAGTTCAAAAAAATATTTCGACTGTGACAGATTTTTGGGCAATAATGCGCGCAACTGTTTGATGTAACAAGGTGAAAATTGAATTCGTTTAATTATTTTCTTTGGGTCAAAAATCAATGAAAATGGCAACGAGTATTTCAAGCGAAAATGGTAAGTGAATTGTGGTTGATTTTAAGGTTAAAGTATAGTTGTACACAATTCAGTAAGTTGCTTCCTTTTATACAAGTTGCGATGAAACAAAAATGCCCGTACATGGAAAAATGTTATCGGAAAAATCCGATTCATTTCAACGAGATGTCACATCCACATTGTGAGTATTGATTGTTTGTTTTCATTTTTATGGATTAAGACTGTTACAGTCATTAAACAATATGAATATTTGTGTTGCAGTGGAAAAAATTATAAGAGATCAGCTGGAGGGTGAAATACGGATACCTGAAAAACTTGATTTTGAATGTTCTGATCGGTCACTTTTAGTAGATCAATTAAAGGTCTTACAGATGGTGCTAAGGAAACAGAAAACTAACACGGACAGTTCTTTATCAATCACACAGTCAACTTCTCAAGTAGGCAGCTCAAATTCAACAGTATCTGATGCTATCAGTAATCCTAATCAAGAATTGAAAGATAAGGTAGAAAAACACAAACAAGCAACGGCTATAAGGAGGGAATCTAAGTTGAAAGAAATGGATGAACAGGGTGAAGCACTTTATAAATTTTCTAATAGCAGCGCAGACTCAGCTAAGGTCCATACAATGAAGGATAAGCTTCATAAGCTCAAAATTGCTGAGGACAATATGGAGCAAGGTGGTCCTTCGCAAGAGAAGAAGAGGAGCAATAGTGGATTTAATGATAATGGTAGAGAGAACAAGAAGTCAAAATCATTTCACAATAAAAAAAATGAAGAGGTTCAAGAATGTCCCCAAAGTGCAAATAATAGCACAAATGATACTACCTCGAAAGGAAAATCCTTGATGGATATTTTTCAATCGTGCAGCTCAACGAAATCCAGAATTGAAGTCAGAGAGAAAGCTATTGAGATGATGAAGCGACAAGGCTTTAATGTTTCTGTGGTAGAACCAGGAAATTTTGCCATGAAATATGCTCTTTCAGCTCCGTATCACCTATTTTTTACAAGAATTCAAAATTCAAAATCAACACATGACCAACCATTCTCCATAACATTTCCTGAAATCTTAGATAGAAGTCTGGGAGAAATAGTTAATAGTTTGCATATTAACTTTATGGTTGATGTTGGATGGTTATGTTTGCAATATTTATTAGCTGGGCAACGTACAGACATGTTAATTTTATATGGGGATAGAGTAGATGAAGAAAAGCTTAGTTTAAACATTACCATGATACCTGTACAAATGCCAACAAAGTTTGGTTGTCATCACACTAAGATTATGATTCTAAAGTACAAAGACGACGGTATACGAGTTGTAGTCTCTACAGCAAATTTATATTCAGATGATTGGGAGAATAGAACACAAGGGTCAGTCAAGGTCATTTTATGTTTCTTCTTGTCAAATATCGGGCCTTAGCAAATAAATGATGCAATTGATTTTGTTGCTCAGACTTTGGATATCGCCACACCTTCCACCCTTGCCGGAATCAGCAAACACCAATGACGGGGAATCACCTACAGGATTCAAGAAGGACCTGCTCCTTTACTTGAATAAATATAGACAGCCAGCAATAACAGAATGGACGAGTGCCGTTCGAAGAGCCGACTTCTCCTCCGTGAACGTGTTCTTCATAGCTTCCGTCCCGGGAAGGCACAAAGGCGTCGAGTACGATAGCTGGGGCCACAGAAAATTAGGTTATGTTCTGTCTAAGCATGCTACATTGCCTCCAGACGCTCCACGATGGACATTGGTTGCTCAAAGTTCCAGTATCGGTAGCTTAGGTCCAAGTTACGAAAGTTGGCTCCTGAAAGAAATAACATCCTCGATGTCGAAGGAATCGCCATCTAATCTGAAGAGTCATCCAAACTTCCAATTCATTTATCCTTCTATAAATAATTACAAGCAAAGTTTCGATTGCAGAGTCGGATCTTGTTGCTTACCGTACAGTCTCCAGACACATTCCAAGCAAGAATGGATAGAATCTTACATGTAGTGAGTTATTAGATTCAAAATCCATAGCTCAGCAGCTGGTAATTGTTTTACTGAAGAATATTTAACTTCCATAGTCAATGGAAAGCTACGCGAACGGCGAGAGACAAAGCAATGCCTCACATAAAATCATACACAAGATTCTCGCCAGACATGAAGAAGATTCCTTGGTTTGTTTTGACTAGTGCCAATTTAAGCAAGGCTGCGTGGGGCACAGTGGGCAAGGATTCCCATTATATCATGAACTACGAGGGAGGAGTTATATTTATTCCAAAATTTATCGTACGTGAACGTTGATGTATAGTAACGTTTGTCAAGTCAACAGAACATATAATCTATTCTCTTTGCAGATTGGTTCGACGACATTTCCTGTCCAAGAAGAGGAAAATGGCGTCCCAGTTTTTCCTATTCCCTACGATCTACCTCCCACCAAATACCAGAGCGGAGATAAGCCGTTCGTCATGGAGTTCTTCTATTCGTAAAAATGAAAGTCGCACCAGATCATGTTACTATTTTTAAAAGATTAGATTATCATCGCAATGCGTAATGTACAAGTGAATTTTTGTAATAAATACGATATTAACACGACGTCGCAATAAAGAGCGATTCTATTCTGGGTTCACCGTCTGCTTCATCAGGCCAACAGAAATACGAGTTTTAACGTATAATCGAATAGTCGTACGTGGAGTAGCAGAATTTTTATGACCTCTGAAATTTCCGCGTCGCGCGTGACTTCATTTTCGATTCACTCCCGTGCCGATTTCGTGGCTGCTCGTTCGCGGACCACGCGTTTTCCATAAAACATCAGCAGGAAAGCGTTTCCTGACCAGCGGTCTTTTGTCGTGGCGTAGTATTGCCTGTGCATGCCGCGCCTTCAAACAGCGTCTAACGAAGTTTTGCTTGCTCGTATTCTCGTGGCAATTACACACATGCTGTAACTCTCATTGGCGTAATTATGACTTTTGTTCTGGTGTGGCGCAAGCCCGTGGCTTTATCAGTAGTGTCAATATCCCATACTAAGCGTGACTAAGCGCTTTTTGGAAGTATATTTAACGACTTAGAAATTTGGGAAGAATTGGCAATTTGGAAATTTAAGTTTAGAAATTTAGAAATTGGGACTTGATGATTTGAATATTTCTAATGCGAGGTGATCTGCCGCCTACGTCTCTTGCGTTACGCATGGAGGGTCGGTTCGTTTTCTTTGGAGGGGAGAGGTTAGATCAATTCTGATTCCTCTTCGGATACGTCAATGCGTGATGTATATAAATTTTGCAAAACAGCCAATACCAGTTATCACTTGCAATATTTTATCCTCTGACCAAGTATGCAATCAAACGAGTATTTTATTCAAATGAATTAAAATTGGTTCAGCTGATCTGAGAAAATTGTAATATAATTTAACCAGTGTTTTCAGCGAACGAACAACAGCGGTTATTTTAAGGAAATCATAACACGTTCCATTTTTATTATAAATTTGAAAGTCTCACCGAATCAAGGCCATAATTGTTGTAATCGTACGTCATTTCGGCGAAAAAAAAACCATAAGACGATATTCGCAAAGAATTCGCAAAAAGGAGACAGAGAAAACATGTTTTTGTTGTTCTCAAAGTTGTTACAAAATACGACCTATAACATTATGTTAATGAGAGGTGTTAACAGCGACATCAATTACGATTTATGCGTAACTCTTCTATCTCCGGTAGGCTATTTAACATCCCATAACGAGCGGCTTTATTAATAAAATATCGAAGAAACCCACGATCGGCCTATTATAAATACTAATCTCGCGGTGGCTGTAAAAGCGAACGGAAGCATGTTCCACGGATCAGCGCGGTTGACATGAAACCATAAAAGTCGAAGGACACCGAATTTTCAATGAAATTATCAACAGATACTTTTACGCGATTACCAATTTCTCCTGACCGATCATCGCCGCTTTCAAAATCGGAATCATTTCTCGATTTGAAGGCGGCAACTTTCTAACGTGTTATTTTGAAATTCCGGAAGACAAACGAGCCAGTTTTATCGCTCGGACCATCATCCGGCGTGTTTCTCGCGACACATCGACCAGGGTCAAGCATCCTTCTCCGTCCACGGCAGGGAGTTCGGTTTTTCATTAAGAAATAAGGCAAGGATTTTGACGTCAACACTAGGCGAGTCTTCGCCTCCCACTAAAGCCCGGCTTCACGGTTGGATGTCCTCGGCGCAGATGCGACTTCTGGAAGGGCATGTCTGGACGCCCGCTACAAGCACGGCGTCGACGAGGAAGCCAGGAACAGGTCGATCAGTCAGTCCGTGAGATGTCGTCGACACGAGCGGACACTTCTTGAAGCCCTTGGTGTCGTCTGCGCGTGTGTGGTGCCGTGTCTGCGTGTTCGCAAGCATGTGCAAACGCGTGTTGTCGTGAGCAGACCACCAAACCGAAGCTTCCGCGGATTTTCCTTCTGGCAGAGTGCCGACACTCCTGGACGACGTCGTCGGTGCAACGGGGATCCGAGCGATAAGGTCCACATCGCGGTAGATAGCCTGCTATCGCCGGAGAAGTCTCTTAGTCCGCGGTGGTACCACGACAGTGGCGCGTCGCGAACCTCGTCGTAGAACGCCGCAGTTTCGAGCAATTTTCGGAGAATCACGAGCAACAGAAAACGTGTCCTGCCTGACAATTGCGCACCTTCGATTCATCAGGGAAAGTAGGTTTCTTTCGAAATTTTCATTTGTAAACTTCGCCGTTCGAACGAGATCCGAGTTCGCAGTGGAGTTCGTTTTTTCATAAAAGTTTTCCTTAATCGTCGCGACTCATCATCGATCGGTTTACGCATCGACGGATGCGAGGCAATTACCGGCAGACTGGGCGCGTGGCTCGTCCGTGCCTATTTTTGACGCCTCGGCCAACATCCATTGCCAGCTGGCCGCTCTTCGTGTTTGCGGATTCATTTATGAACGAAAGAGTTTCCTCGAGTCCGTTCTTTTCGAACATGTGTACGAAATCGTTGCATCCTTATCAATGAGTATCAACGTAGTTTCGATTATAATCTGCTGTCTTTAGCTGCGAGGCGTTAACTTAAGCGGAATATTCCGCGTGTATTAATGAACACCGCAGACAAATTCTAAGTAAAGAGTGTGTTTGCTGTCAAACGTTTCCTATTATTCGTGTTGCAGATTCGACGTAGCTCATCATCGGAGGAACGCAAGTGGTCAAGCATTATCGAACATGATCCGATGATGCCTCACAAAATGAGTCTGCCCGTCCAACGATTCATCCGCGATTGTTTGTCATGCTAGTCGTGCCACGCAACTTTTCATCGGCTAGAAAGCAGCCAGAAAACGCTGTCAGTCTCGACCACGAATCGATAAAGCGGAGCGTGGTGGTTCTACGGCGGTGGAGAGATTCCAAAGTCTGACCAGACGGCTCTCCCTTTTCTGCTCCTACAAAGGGAAGAAAGACCGTTATCAAAATGTTAACTTGCTGGGTGTTGACCGGCGTCTTCGGGGCCATTGTGTTGCTCTACGGCCTAATAGAGGTTCACTACTTCTTGCGCATGTTCTTCACCGTGCTCTTTGCGCGGTTCTGCAAGAAAAAGGCACACATCCTCGATGAGACTACCGTATACGGTACGTTGAATTTTTCATACGCGAGACGAAGGGATGACTTGTTTGCAATTATTTTATTTGTGTTAAGTGGACACTCGTAAATGGACGAGTTTCGTGGAAGTAGTGTCTAGAATTTCTTTTAGGAATCGTGTGTTAGATGTAGCACTTGGTAATGCGAGATGATTTGAGGAGGTGGGGATTCAACGCGTCATCTAATGTTTTGAGATCCACGTGGAAATTCTATGCGTGGAGATTTTAGACGCAGGAAAATTTCATGTGTCTGAGTGGTAAATTAGCGAGTGACGACACGTGAAAATCCAGTTCATGGAAATTTAACGCATGGCAATTCAACGGGTGCAGACCCCATTCGTGGAATTCTCGTTTCTAGAGATTCAACGCTTGGTAATTGGACGCGTGAAATTGCCACGCGCCGAAATTCAATGCATGGAAATCATATGGGTTGTATTTCAAAGCGTGGGGATTCAGTCTTTAGGGATCCAACGCATGGAATTCTTACGCTTAGTTATCTAACGTGTCGAAAACCAATGCTTGGAATTCGAATGCGTGAAATTCCCATGTGTTGCACTGTATAGAAATCCCATATGATCCAAAGCGTGCACACACAATCTGCAGTGAACCCATGAAAATTTAACACGTGATTAACGCGAGGTTATCCAACGCGTGGATATCTAGCGCGTAACTATCCAGCACACAACTACGTATGCCTTTCTACATTTCCAACTCGTGACAATAATACAGTGTACCAACAGCCACTTTTATGAATGATTGCGTAGTACAAATGATGCTCATCTTGCAAGATGACAGTGTAGTAATGTTGAATTATTGGCTACATGATCGGTGCAAGATTATTATTCAAGAACGTAGAGATTCCATGAAAATGCATTTCATAGTCCCTCCATGTCGCTACGTAAGTCCAGAATCCTTACAATTTGCCGACTTATCTCGGTCTCGTTGCCGGGAACCTTGACCTACCATGCGCGAATCAGTTGGCCGGCTGGCTGGTTGCTCGTGTCGCAAATCCGCGCTAGTATTGATTGCACGCCACGATGCAGCTAAATTTCACCAAACTGGACCGACCAAATTCAAACGTAAACACAACTTGTGGAATTTATGATTCCCGTAGTCTGCAGACGTCATTATACTGGCACGAGTTGACCTCACGTTGAGGGTTGCTGTGCATATTGCTTGTTTTTCGCCAACTCCAGTCTTAAATGTCCCCATTGGGCTCTTCAGCCAGATGGGCAAATTGAATGATCAGCGTTTTGAAATTCTCACGATCAGTATACAAATATATTTTTGATATAGTATCATATTAGTTGAGGATCTCTAAAATGACAAGCATCGATCATCTGAGATCTTTATGAAGTTCCTGATGCTGTATTAAAATTTGTCAGATAAATAAATGGATATAAATTCTACGATGATAGGTGTTCTTCGTCACAAGATTTCAAACAGTACAACAATGTTTAAAGATTCTCCAAATCTTCGTACTTTAAGATTCTCTGAATTTTTAGCGTGCACGACCATGTAGACCGTGGTTGTACACCTGTTTTGTTAATATAGTTACCGACCTATGCATCTTCGTCACGCTGCGCGATTCCAACGAGGAATAATAAATCTTCGAAACATATATTGTGTCTGGGTATTCTGACTAATGCTAATCTTTTATTTAACAGTCCTTGCAGCGGATCAGGAAACCGAATGACGCTACTCTTACCTTCTTTTCCCGATCTTCCATACCGTCGTCTAGCGTCCGATCAACCTGACCGCGTCAACTCGACATCGTGGGTGTCAAACAATACATGCGAAACTTGCAAAACAAGTATAAAAAATTTGCCGCGACTACGTTACTTAAAATTCCAAGAAACTTTGGTGGTGTCTCGATATGAAATGTCATACGGGGCGGAAAAAAGACCCTTTTAGTAGTCGTACATTTGCGGAAAGCTATTTTGTAATCGGAATAGCAAACCGGCTTTGTTTTTGCTTGTTGTGTATTCATATTTCCGTCATATCTGTTTGTAGGTATTTTGCACTTGCAAAATTAAGAATGTCTTGACAATTAACAAAATTTGAATTGTAAAACGAGCGAAATAATGCAGCACGTGTATTCCTAGATTCCTAAGTCCCTCTATCGCTAATTTCTTCATACCAACTCTTAATAAGAATTTCAACTTGTCTTACTCCTTCATTGATGTTGATTCAATGACCATCTGCATTTTTCGAGCTCTTATCTCTTCCGTATCGAAGTTGTTGAAGCGAAGTTCCCAGGATAGGAATCTAATATCTTTAAGCACGATCGAAAGCTCTCGTGCTCGTTTTCGCAATTTCGATAGCAATTATCTGTATCCAATAAGTGCAAATCATATTCATAACCGGTAACGGCTCTGTTTCCAAGAAACGTGCAATCGTGAAGTATAGTTAACGACTTTCGGTATGATAACAAATCGAATATTTGACGAGTCGTACTAATATTTGATGTTCTTTAGGTATCTGCACCACGACGGACGTGGACACGCTTCTCTATCACATGAACAACTCGAGGTATCTCCGTGAGCTCGATTTTGCCAGGGCGGATTTCTACGAACGCACGAACCTGTACCGCGAAATCTGCTCCCAAGGATCCGGCGTCGTTCAGGGTGCGGCGACCATCCGTTATCGTCGCTTCGTGAAGCCTTTGTCCATCTTCAAAATAACTTCTAAGGTATATTCCGGCGAGAAATCGTATTACAGATTAACGTTCGTTGTACTTTGACCAATCACCTCGAAGAATCCCTAGAAGACTTTTCTTCCCGCGGTTACTCTGCAAACAAATATAACTCTCTCGTCTTAAATCATTAAACTTGGCAAATATACTTTTCATTTCGAGAAACAGACATCGCTAATTTTAATCAAAATAAACACAAGCTTGATCGCCATAAAATGAAACTAAATAAAAATATCAGATATGGTAAAGAAGGAACATCTGCCTAACTGATATTTGTAGCTAATTTGAAAATAAATGTCAAAGCTCGATAAAATTTCATACTCGTAATTTGTTTATTTTTCCACTGTTTAATCGATGAAACGTCGGTAGTTTCTTAACAGCATTTTAGAAGCCGACGGCCAATCATGACGGTGCTAATGAAGTGCCATAATTACGTATGCTTTCGGTGGACGTATGACGTAGTGCGTCGAAAATTTATTCCATCCTTCTCGGTATCTCTTTTATCGCGGTGCAAGCAGAATGCAAATTGAACCTCAATTACGTTCCTTTTCGTTCCTTGCCAATAAGGAACCAATTACATCGATATCGATGTTATTCGACGAACGCTTTCGAATGATACTTTTATCGCGAAAAATACGTGGGCGAAGTATCTTTTCTCTTCGTTTCTATTTTCAGATCATATACTGGGACGAGAAGTCCGTGTTCATGGAACATCGGTTCATTACACCCAGTGACGGATTCGTCAGGGCCATTGCAATCTGTAGGCAGAAACTTTTGGATTGCAGTGCAGAGGCTGTCATTGGCTCCTTGATGGAACGAGGAGTGAAACAAAACGGTGTTGAGGCTGGTGTAACTCAGGTAATTCCTTTTCTAGTACACGTCTTCGGTATCTTTGTTAGAGAAAAAAGATTGGAATCATATCTATCACCTATGTACACATTTAACGATAATATAAAGTATTGACTTTGTAAAAGGCTAACAGCAATCCTCTCGCTATAATAGCAAAAAATAAACTATCAAGTGTAGTATTTTTACCTTATCACCGTTACATAATTCCTTAACAAGAATTCTCATGGCGATTATGTCACATTAAATCCCCTGATTCCTTAGATATCACTCGGGGGATTCGTAATTACCTCACCGATATCAGTAAATAATCTCGAAGATTAAACATGCAAAGAGATACGGTGTAATTATCGACAAAGAAGGATATCTAAATTATGTAAAATTTAAATGAGTAATTATCGACTCGATCACGGTCAGTTCGCTTATAAAATAATAAATGTGGGCGTTACAGATACCTCACGTGAGGCCGCAAATGCCACCGGAAGTAGCAAGATGGTTGGAGAGCAACGAGATCTCATCGGCGCTCCTTCGTCAGTCAGCTGCAGTGGCGACCAATTGCTGACAAACGGAGGAGACGGCGTCCACAGCGAATGGCGCCGTTTCCGCTTCCGTCTACGCGACCACGACCGTGTAGGGTCGAAAGTGAAGCCGTTTCGTCGGATCTCGTCCGACTCGTAGCCGACTGTTCGAGAATCAATTTTTACGGTGAAGGAGATACGGGTGATCGCGTTAAGTTTGAAAGTTTTATATGGTTGTAAACTGCTCGTCGATCGAGTCAAGGGTCAAAGTGGCATCGTCGCTTGAAACTTGACATCCGTCCGCCTGGAAAATTGATTCAGCCTAACGAAGACGTTGTGTCGAAAGTGTCTACGATAGGAGAAAGTACAGAAATAGAGCGAAACTATTTTACTAGCGATTGTACGCCTCGAGCGATGGCTTTCGAACTTTTCGGTTTGACAACAGTGGGACTGCGCTTTGGAGAAGCTGCAACCGTGGAACGGGCTGCCGCAGTTCGTCGAGCGAACATTTGCGATTGTAATCGACGATTTTACTGTTAATGAGCTTCCAAAGCTTCGACGGTCGCGGTTGTTGAATATTCTCCGTTGAAAGTAATCGTCAGGCGGTTATTCGCTACTTCCTTTTTTAAACGCGCCGCGCGAACGGCGTCGGTAATGAATCGCGGGAACACAGATTCTACGAAAGTCGCAGGATACTGGAAATGCAAGAACAATCAGAAGTCGAGAGTATTTATACATACAGTGTTGTCTCGAAAATTAACCATCGATGCAACCGACGCTTAGAAGCTTCGTAGATATGTGGTTGTTCCTCGTTCGCTCGCGACAGCCAAGGAAATTTCTATTGTAGAGATTCGGAATTTAAGAAATCACGAGTGGTACCTTTCGAGACAGCACTATACTTCTATACACAGGTGCCTTTATGTACAAGTCACGAATGGGATCTCTTCCTGCGATTATAGACAGCCTTCAGACATCGGAACTAGCGAGAAACGTGAACACCTTTGTGATAGAGAAAATATTACAACTTTGAACTTTGAAAATCTGTGAAAGCTTTATCTACAAATGTTTATCGCTGTACGTAGTCTCGTGGCTGACTTATTTCAGTTTCAAATGTTCGACTGCATTTTTAACGAGGTTTTAATGTCGTTCCCGTGTCGAAGCGAGGTTTACAGTAAAGTTTTTAAATATATTTGTACAGCCTTCCATTACCGACGCTACTTGCACGGCCGGTTCCTTCGAAGATATTCCACCGAATTTCGAACGAAACCAATACCGTAGTTTTGGTCATTTAATGTAGCCAATCTCGACAGCTATATAGCATTACGCACCTGATGAAACGTTACCATAACTTCTAGATGATAAATAATGTCACATCTGTCGAAATAATACTGTGTCGATCGTGTCGAGAACACGTGATTGTCCGGAAAGATGAATAAATTATTCTTTAGATGGTTAAAGCGTTTTTTATTCTCCCTTGAAAAGTTAGACAAGTCGTTACACAACTGTAAGAATTTCACAGTCTATCAAGGGTAATTGAATGTTTCATAAAAAGTTAATCCTCAAAGTGCAAATGTTAATTAATAACCTTTCATTTATTCCCTTGATTTATTATATTATCTACATATTTACTACATCTATATATTTGCTACTATTCTCACACACGTACGTGTACACCTGTACACGTCGGAACATTTATCTCCTTTGAAAACACGATTGAAAACTTTTTAACGTAAGATCATTATTAGCTGTATTAATTATTAATTTTACACGAAATAAATGAAATGTAAATGGGAATCGGTTGTCGGGTCATTTTAAGCTGATGTTACTTATTTTTTGTACCTTTCGATTTGCATACGTATTGAACATTGCTACTTACGTTTATTCCAGTGATATCCGCTGAACCATGGTGTACATTTATCTCGTACTTCTTGCTCTTTATGTGTTACTCGATGTGAACTATTTTATTCGAACCTTATTCTCTATCTACGTGCTGCACTATCTGCGGGGGAGGCTGAAGGTCCTCGATGAATCCAACTCCTACGGTAATTTCATTTTTATTCATTAATTAAGAAGTGACATTCTTATTGCACGTAAAGATACATCATTAGAATCTGTAAATTAATAGACAACCGGAATAAATACCTTTGTACATTAAATATAATTTATGAAGTAATGATTCAACAAAAAAATAGTGAATATTATGCCTCAAGAGTAGTTTCCGCAATTCAAAATGGCGATGAAATATGCGTCACGCATTTAAAGACGTTTGAAAAACGAAAAGACCATTGTATTCCAATGATCAAAGTCGTATATCCATCTACACGATTTAACTACCGTAATTAAAAAATAAAATAGAAGTGTAACCTTTTGGCTTTTTATTCGTCATTGTTTTTATACTGCTTTTGTACTGTTGATTTTTATTGGAAGGTCATTTAATTTTTTTGCTAGGAATATGCACCCCGCAGGATATGGATAGAAACGGTTGCATGAACAATGCGAGATATCTTCGAGAATTGGATTTTGCGCGGTTTCTTCATTCTAGTAGAAATGGACTCTTTTGGGCAGTTATCAAAAAGGGTACAACCGTAGTAGGAGCTTCCGTGAGCCATTACTATCATGGCATTCCTGTTTTTACGCCCTACAGAATTGTCACTAAGGTAAGCAATGCATTCAACTATAATTTAAACCTAGGAGCTTGTAACTAAACTGCAACTCCATTTTGATAAGCTCAATATTCAGAAGTTAAATTCGGTGCAATATTTAAAGGTTAAATTCAATGCAATATTTAAAGGTTAAATTCAATGCAATATTCAAGAGTTACATTCGATGCAACAAGTTACTTTTATTTTCGCAGGCGCTGTACTGGGAAGAGAAATACATATATATGCATCAAAAGTGCATCACTCTACACGACAATCTTGTTCGCGCTGAATCTGTCACCAAGCAAGTTTTGATAGGACCGGAGATAAACATGATCAAAATCGTTACGGATCTGGAGCCGAACACTCATTCTCCTGACCTATCGGAGGATCTGAAATTGTGGATCGAATCCTTGGAAGAAACATCGAAAAAGTTTAGAAAGAACTATTGAAGTGTTATGTGAGTGATTTTATTGAGTTTGTTTTGTTTAAAATCTGGGATGATGCGGAAATGTATATCATAAAATACTGTCACAAGGAAAAATGTATTTTTAAATTAATGTATTGATTCCAAGAAATCTTAACAGGTAAAAGAATTGATTTAAAATAAAAGAATATTTAATTCGCAAATGTGAGTGTTCCTTGAAGGAATTCTTTTTAGTCGCGCGTTCAACCACTAGACGGTGCTAGCTGTATTGTTTCGGTATCAATAAGCGCTGATGTGTCGAGATTTGAAAATTTGATAAAACATGAAATTTAAAAACACGGCGTCTTAAAAATTTAGAAGCGTAAACCTTGAAAAGTTGAAACATCTAAAAATTTGAATATTAGCAATTTTTTACTCTGCCGTATAAATTTACATTTTGATGAAAAGTCCATCGAAAGAATTTAACGACACAGCAAATAATTATCGATACGTAAGGATTTTTATAAATAACCCACCTGTGAAAGAAAAACGCTTAACGATTATGTAGAGATTTTTGAAGATGTCGGACTAACATATTTTGATCGAGTTATAAGTCGACACGAGACCGCATTCACAAAAACGTTAGAGCTCGAGGAGGAACAAGTTACCGCTTTATACGTCGTTCGGAGCGACTTCGCACTTTGGAATATAACTGGAACTCACAGTCTTCTTTCGACAGTGACTACGTGAACGTCGGTCAGCGTTGTTTGTGCCTGTTAATACCGGAAACACAGAAACATGGTGTGCGCCTGCTTAATCACGGTACTTCTATTCCTGTACATGGTTTTCGATGTGCACTACTTCTTGAGGATCTTTTTCACAATTATCACCGGCAAGCTCTTCCAGAAGAAGATAAAACTCTTTGATACTACCACCATCTACGGTAATCTGTCATTTTTTTTATTAAAAGGGAACTTCACTTTTGTGTCATGTTTGAAGGGGTTTCAAATTCGTTTCGGTTTTGGAACGAGATGTTAATACGGTTCCAATCAAGAAATTTTTTATTTTCCTTCATTTTTTTTGTTCATACTTTTCCAGCAAGAATCTTTTATTTTTCGGTAGTCTTTAATCTCTCGAGTTAATACTCCGAATGTTCGAGGATTTTATTCTGCAATTTTCTGCAAACATTATTCACTGATTTCAAAGACCTTTTTAGTTCATTTACGTTTTACAGAGCAAGAACCTTTAACTGTCGTAACGGTTATCCTACATTATCGACACAGATGTTACGTCTGTATGTAGTCCAAGTACCGAATCTTTCCGTTACTTTAAAATGCACGTAAACATTGTTTAAATGCATTTCGCAAATGGAATTTGACACGAAATACTCCCGCATCAAATTTCCTTCATTAAGTTTTGTCGCTCGAAGCTGTTTAACCATTAATGAGCACCGTGCTTAATCACAATGGAAATATGCGATAACCAGTGCGATTATAAGTAGATATTGTGTTATGTATTTATAAATCGCTTTCAAGTCAATGAAACGATTGAATGATGACTCGCATGAATAAAAAATGCGGGAAAAAATGTTACGCGTAGAGGATTTGTACGCGTGGACACATTGGAGCGACTAAAATATGTATATATGGATTTGTTTATTATACGAAAAAAAAGTCAAAAGAAATCTTTATTCTACTACTATTGTTTTTCTATTTTAGGAATATGTTTAACGCAGGATGTGGACCTGTTCCTAAAGCACATGAACAACGCCAGGTACCTTCGCGAATTGGATTTCGCACGTTTCCACTTTTACGATAGATCTGGACTTTATGCAGCTATTTCGAAAAGAGGCGGCGGAGCAGTGCAAGGAGCTTCCTCGGTCCGTTACCGTCGTGCAATTCCTATTTTCTCACCGTACAAGGTCACTACTAAGGTAAATAATACATTAGATGCACTTACGATTTTCTTTTAATTGTTTGTCAACGACAATGGTAATTACTGTATCAACATACGAACGGAGATTACGGATTATTGACAGTGATGTTCCCGATGATCCATTACAATATTTCTATGTTCATAGCTACTTTACTGGGAAGGCAAGAACTTTTACATCGAGAATCAATTCATCACTTTGAGCGACAATTTCGTTCGTGCCGTGATTCTCAGCAAGCAAACCTCGACAGGAATACAAGCTTCCATGGCTGAAATCGTCGCGGACGTCGATCCGAACGCTCGTCTTCCTGAACTGCCCAAGGATCTCGAATTGTGGATTAACTCCATGGAGGTTTCCTCTAAAAAGTTTAGGAAACAGGAGTAGATTTTTAATTTTTATATTTTGTTTAATTTGTTGCGATCTATGGTTTTAATAAAGCGGTATTAAGTCATATTCTCATCATTTTCATTTTAGACGATAAATTATGATAACTGGTTTCTTATAATTCGATGTCGAAATCTTTGATTATGTGGAAACTTGAGCAAGAGGTTATAACGGAGAAAGTTATTTTTTCATCAGATCGTTCTACTTACGCTTAAAGAACGCGGAGAATGCTTATTTTTTTAAGAAAGTCTTCGCCATAGTTTTATCACCTATTGCTGGAGGTCGCTAGTAGTGCCATCCTTCATGTCTGGGTACTTTGTAATCTGGACAAGCGTTTTGAAAATTCGAATGTATAAATCTCGAATATACGGAAATTCATGGTCTTGAAAGTTTACAAATTGGAACTCGGAATTTGGAATATTTGAAGATTTGCAAAATCGAATGTGGACTTGAGAACTTATAAATTTGAAACTTGCGAATTTCAATACTCTAGCTTGGAATGTTCGAAGCTTGGAAATTTGAACCTTCCAAATTTGACAGACATAAAAATTTGAACCTTTCAAATTTCACAGACTTAAGAATTCGAAATTGATAAATTGAGAAGTTTGAAACTTCGGAGCATCAAATATTTAAAAATTTGAAATTGTCTGAAGAACCCCTCGTTGCTGCAAAGAACACATCAGGAAGGTGAAAATCAGCGCTTTCTCCGAAAAATGTAACGACGGTCCATTTCTCTGCAGCGATCTATGTGGTATTTTCACGGTTACCGTCAGATGGCGACTTTCGTTTCGCGATGACTGATGGAGAACGGATGTGCGAGAGTTGTGCGCGTTTCTCTCGTGCAGTCGATCCGGGAACTCGAAACCTGTCGCGAACACGAGCCGACCTTTGACTCTGCTCTCCATGAACCTCCGTTCATCGTCAAACAGCTCTTGACAGCGTCTGTCGATCGTGCATCGGACGGTTCTCCTCTTACCGGTAAGTCGTGTCAGCGTGTTTGAACTTCCATCTTCCGGTTTCACCGGCTTCCGTCTTTTTAAATTTCTCCCACAAATCGATCTGTTTCTGTTACATTAATATTCGCCTTACGTCTAACAATGAGCTGTGCACATTTTCGCGAACGAAATTCTGTCGTGTAACTTACGTCGATGTTTATATTACTGGTGTGCTACTAATGTTGAACCTTGTTCACGTAAATAAATTTGGTTGCGTTTGAACGTACTGATCCGTGATGAAGCAGTTAATTTAATTGGCTAATTATGTATCGAAGGATGTGCATAAATAATTCAGTAAAATAGTTGTATCGCAAACAGTAATTAAAGTAAATTATCTCTACAACACGTGACGAATATAGCAACAATGATATTAGAAGATATTTCTCACATGTTTTTATTTTATTTAATCATTAGCTGTCAATAACATATACATCGTTGTTTATAGATCCGAATACATATTAATATACTATTATTTCACTGAAATCATGAAAACAATGAATTATTTATCAAGTATCGACGGCCAATATTCGACGTTGCATAATGGAGCACAAAAGGTTTACTCCGCGTTATAAATTAATTATGGTAACAGCAGAATGTATCTTTTACAAAAGGGTCAGCGGTGTCGGCGGATATGCAAGCGTGTCGTTTTACGGAATTTCGCGAAGCGAGCATAAATTAAAAGCTGGTCAATGAATAATCACGATTGGGACGAGTTACCGTCGCAGTTGACCTTTTTTTGTACGTTTCAATCGTGTCGATTCAAATTCATTTACGCTTGCGATACAGCTCAAAAATAGTTCTTACCTATTGTAGGTAGCATTTGCATTTGCGTGATCTTTTGCGAAAGCGCACACGGATTAAATTACGCAATTACTGCTGGAAAATTCCTACGTGGATTTCTATTGTTTCCTGGCAGGTTTTCATATTATATGATAAAACACGTAGGTTTGACTATTGCGACGAAAATGGGGCAAGATGTGAAATTCAGAGAAGATGAAAGTATCGTTAGTTATTAATTTAAAAATATATGTTTTCAAACAATCTGGGGTTCATAAGCCTTATATCAGTACATTTCTGTTATCATAGTGTATATAATAAGAGTGATCGCAGTTCGATACCTCGCAAATCACGCTGTAATCGTTGCAAATTTCTTCTCACCTCGATTAGCGTAGAAAATTACTCTCGGCAAGGCTGCGAGCAATTTTGAAGCCTATTCCGCGATCTCTATTAATCCCGCCGATTAAGTCCGCGACGGGAAGAATTAATTCGCAGCCAGAAAAATGGACTTAACACTTTGATGGTCGCGTATTTCGTGAACTCTTTGACTCTTACAATTTGTTGTCCTTGTGACGCGGTCGGATGTGACCATGGACAAGGGCACCACATGGGAACGGTGCAGTCGAGATATGTTGGGGATTTGATTGTGGATCAAATTTGGGAATCAGAAAATTTGAGAATTGGAACATTTGGAAAATTTGGAATTTTTCATTGCGGAATAATAAGGTATTTGGTGAGAAAATGCATCAGTCATATGTGGAGCCTGTTACGTAAGGCAATCGAGACCTCGTATTACATAATAATGATTATGAACGAATCTCATAATCAAGCTAATGCGAATTGTCCAATGACACTAACGCAACCCCATTCCCCATGGTTAATGACTACATGAGAAACAGTCTCAGTGTCGCAAACCGATGCTCCGTCGAGTGCACTTGTACCGTTACATTTATTTAAATTACATCCTTCAGACTCTTTGATCAGAATTTCAGATTTTGACAATTGCCGCCATTTTTAGAGAACAATTGTGCCAGACATTAATCTTTTCGAGGCGAAGTGGCACAGCGTGCAGTTACGCGTTTGGAAGTCAGCTTTTTAATGATCCCCGATTAGAACAGGTTTCTAGATCAAGGACTATAATCTTCCCCACACGCGGGGGATTAGAAACGTTAATTAAGTGTCGCGATGCGGGCCGTTTCGATAATCCTCGAGGAGATCGCGATATCGAGGAAATCGATCGTGCGAACTGAACGTACGTCGATTTCTCTTCCCATGTTTCTCTTCGCGCCAACAATTGTTCGCAGAATTTTGCTTTTTTTTAGCATCCTCTGCTTTCTGATCTCGTGGGAAATCCTTGAAACTTTCCTTCTGAAAAACAATCGCGTGCACACATCGGTTAATAGGTACGAAAAGTGATTAGCACGCAATTTTTAGGATCAGAAAAGATTTAACAATTCTTTTTTTGATTTTTTATAGAGACAAAAATGTGAGTGAGATGCAAGATAACTTTTGGACTTGATAGTATGTCGAGTTAGTGATGGATCACAGTGTTAGAACTTTTGGCAATATAACTAGTGGCGATGCAGCACGACATCTATGTCAGGAGCAACAATAATGTAAAAAGCGATTTAATGTTCACATTGAAAGGTGTCCAAAGATTCAATGTACAGAAAAAAAGTTTCTGAAATTCCCATAATCCCTCATTCGGAAAGCTGATCACGCGTACGTCGCAAGGGATCAAGGGACACGGCGATGGCACCGATACGTGCGGCCCTTTGTTCGATCCTCCATTATGTCACGTGGGAGGACGAGCACACACGCGGTCGCATATCGTCTCACGATTAACGAGCGCATTGTAATAAATTAGGAATTATGACGCTGCTCCCTCTTCGCCCTCGGCTCCTTTCGCCCGGCTCAATTGATGCGTCGCGTTTTTCTCTAACGATCTCCCTCCGCTGCGATCGTGGACAATTCGATGATTGCATCTATTGTCATAATAGCGATTGCGCATGACGTAGAATATTTTCTCTAAACAATGCTAGAAGCAATCTCTTTGTCAACTTTGATTCCCAATTTAAAATTAACTGATTTCCTTTCAACTATCTTTCCTTTCAATTTCCTTTCAATCCAATCTTCGAATTGCAAGGGTCGAAATTTGAATCCTGATTCAAGACGTATAAACTCGTCGCTTTTCCACGATTACGTCACGTGGGATAGCGTGTAGGAGCGTAAACGCGATGGCGTATCATAATGCGAGAAAGAACGATAGCCAGGAGGGGTGAAAGGGAGAAAGAGAAAAAGAATCGTGTCGCGTTAACTCTTACGTTTAAGCACCGTCCACAACGTGTCGACGTGGCGACGAGCGGGGAGATCATAGATGATGGCAAATTGTCCGCAATTGGCAGGAAGTCGTGGCAAGGGGGACCGTTTCTACGCCCCCTTGCGCTCTCTTCGCTGTTCATTAGAGCCACCGCGTTTGCGGTTCCATTTCGCTCGCTACGAATTGATTTCAAGTACGATTAACCCCGTTAACGCGCTTCCCTTCTCGATCTCGCCTTCGCCAAATTTTCTTCCCTCGTTTTGACACAGGAAACTCGTCGCACTTTGAAAAACACGTTCTTTCGATATAACATGCCATTAACCCCCTAAGACATGTTAAACTATTTTACAAATTTTTTTTAATGAAAGGATTCTTGGTATTAATTATATTTCACCTGTAACAATTATATGAATAAATCTTGAAAAAATTTATAATTGCAGGAACATTATGTATGTGCAGGGATATTACATATATGTGGAACATGTGTATACATGTATACTTATGTGTACATATGTAGCAGATATTTTATCAATATTAAGAGTTACAATTTTCCTTCGAGATTTCATAAGTTCCTCCGACTGTGTTGAACAATTTGAAGTAATGAATTCGATAATATCTGACCCAGACCTAACCTGTATCAGGTAACGAGTTCAGTTAGCAAGTGGTACGGCGTGTTACGCAAAAGATTTGTTTGATCGCGCGATAAGATGAATCAATATTACGTAACCTTGCTAACCAAATTCTGATAAACGTATTAAGGGACAAGAAACGCTGGCATAAATTGTTTCATCGACTCCTACAAGACGTAGAACCGTGTTCATGCATTTTTACAGGTGTCTATTAGCTATTTCATGAGCTGCCATTACTTTCCTTTTGCGGTCCATTATAAATTTTATGACCGAGCTATTATTTTCCATTAGTTATATGATACAGAGAAAAGTATACAATAATGTTCGAAATTTAATATTTTTACAATTACTATTTTAATTTAATAAAATCTAATACTTCGTTTTAAGAGTAAAATTGGAGTGTAAAGAATAATTTTAAGCGTCGAATATCAACGTTATTTTAAGCAGGACAGTAGGTGTTCAGAACTCGAGAACTGCGTCTTTTCTCGATTTAATGCGATTCAAAAACGTAGAAACCGGTGACTCGTCGAAACGACCGAAGTCACCCTTGACTGCTCGAGATAAGGCTTGTCACGTCGTTCTTCTTCGTTCTCACCTGTGCAAAGAAACTCGCGCCTCGATCGTTGAAACGAGAAATCCAAGTTAACCGATTCGTTCAGTTGTCAAAAGCGTATCTCATTCGAGAACAGCGTGCAGCAAGAAATTGTTCTTTTCCGTCTGACGCGTCCATAAAGCGATTTCTCTTCCGTAATTCGTTCGAAATTCAACACATTTATCAAAATTTCTACAAACCTCTCGTTTGAGCCACATGAATATAAAATTCTTGAAATTTGATCAAATTCTTAGTCTCCTCAATATTTACAATTAATGTAAGTTTCTTCATAAAATGACAAAGCAAACCAGCAGAAATTTGGACGAAGTAAATTGCACGAGAAGCGATGATTCACTGTAATCGTTTATACTGCGATTTTGCAGAGGAAGAAAATCGTAATCTCACGGATCTTTTATTCAACGATTAGACGCACTATCCATTATTTACAGGCTATCATACATGTTTAATGCATGCAAAAAGCATCTGTTTCCTAGACTTCCTTTATGGCGACCTTATGGAACTTTTTTCTCAACAGACATTATAACCTTCGATTAAATCGAAAAACGAGTGTGTCTTATTACGCCATTTTCTCTGTGATGGTCGGATTGAAAACTTCTAACTTAACTCCGCTGTATTAGTCTCAACTCTTCTGCAGAGTTTTAAAACGTTGCGTCTAAACGTTCGAGAGGAAAATACGAGGGCAGATTTCCGGCGACCTTGGGTCTTACACGTTTCTCAGCAGGCATCCGTAGGAAAGTGACGTCCACGCGTGAGCAGACGTTACCTCTAGCGGACCCACGCGATCACGATCGCGATCGTGTATGAGTGAGAGGCCGCTGTCGGCATAGTGTCCCGTTAGGGGACCTAGAAGGCCCAGAAGGGGCCACAGCCAATCCTATCAACCTGGTTTCGAACACACCGGAACGGATCCTCGTTCGATGAGGATCGTCTGTCAACCGGTCATCGATTCTTTCGCTACGATTTTCGCACTTCCGCGTTGTTTAATCGTGACCTTCGCCTTAACTGTCGTGCAACCATGAGATATTAAACGTTGAAACACTGTAAGTCGATAACGGAAGTATTTTTCGTCCTCGCGTTAGTATTCAGGTATTCGGTGTGCAGTAAGATGATGTATTGAATAGTTGACGGTGAAAGTAATTTTCACACGTGTTATCTGCTCAGATATCTCAAGTATTATCAAGGCTATTGTGCTGTGGATAACATAGTGTCGAAGAATTGTGATATTCACACGCTTGTATAATTTCAAATGTGCAGCTTCACGGAAGTGATCATAGAGTAGTATTCATTCATGTATTCAATTGTATCCATATATTATTTGTTCAAACACGTGTTGTTGAAATGTTTGAAAACCATCATAGTTGACTACGAGACGTTGCTATTCGAGTATTCACAAGTTATTCGATCGGCGACTTGTTAAAATTGTAGAAGCGTTCAGAAGCGATGAAAAGCGATCGAACGATGAAAAGTTGATCGCGGTGTTGATATTCAACCAGGCAGTGGCGATTTCGTGCGTTGTTAGTGAAACAGAAGCCACAGCGATCCTCGGGGAATAAAGATATCTGTCGGCTGGCTTTTCGTGAGACAGCCCGCATTCGAGCGGAATACGTAATCGTCACGTGTGCTTGTGCAGCTTTATCTTCATCTCCTGCTGCTTCTACTTATTCCTTCTTCTCGTTGCTCGTGTTGGTTTCGTTGGTGGTCAAGGCATTTCTCGGTAATTCGGAGCGACTCGCAGTTCTCGTGCATCCTCTCGATTCGCGTGTTGTTTTGCGATCTTGGATACATTGAGCGCGGCTCTCGAGTCAAGTTTGATTGATCGAGAGTAAACAGTGAAAGTTCTTGAGGTACAGTTAACTATTTGCCAATACTAACGACTTAATGAATGCCTCTAACTTAATGAACGCGATTAGGATGAGATAATTGTATACACTTATCTGGAAACGTTCTGAACTGTTTATTTAAGGTTGCCTTCGATTTGTAGAAATAACTTGGCTCGTTTAAAATTTTTCTAATATACTTCGGTTTTGCAATTATTTCGATCACAGTGTACGACTGCGCTCCTATTATGTATTTAAATGTCATGAAGAATTTTTGAAAAAGTCTAAGAAAACGAAGATTTAAATTTCGCGCCAATACGTGGTTTTCGTCGGAGTATTTTTACGACCCTTTTAAAGAAACAGTCGACGAAAATAACCTGGAAACAGCGGAGAATCATCGTGTATCGTTTCTGGTGTTTCCAGGAATCACAGCCAGTTTGAGCGAGGACAAAGGTTGCGAAGGATCGAGCCATGGGCCGCACAGGATACACGTGCATCAGGCACGTCTTCTGCTCCCTCAACGTTCTCATATGGGTACGTAACACGTACTTCTCGATACAGCAAATAATTCCTAAGTTCCTTTACAATCAAATAATATGAAAAAACCAACGAAGAACCAGTTATAAAAGTAAATATCCTTCATATGAAAGCAACTCTATGAGCAATTGCTGATCAGATTACGGAGTTACTATGTACAGCTGTTCTCTCATCTCCGCATTCATTCGTAATTCACCGAGCAGCAATTACTGCACGCAACATTCAATGTCATTTATTTCATCATCGACCATAATAAGCCTCTATAACAGGTTAAAAATAAATATTGTTAGCTGATGCGAATTTCAGAGCATTCTTCAGCAATTTATCAAACTGTGGAAGTCTAGAAATACTAGAAAATGTATGAAGTTGAAAAGATAATTTCTGGTCCTTGCTTTAGGGAGTGGACATCGTTGCACGCCGCTGTACTCTCGCGACCCAATATATACCGGTTTTATCGATGAACAGAACGTTGCATGATAAAGAATCAGCCGGGAGGAATGAATGGAGATCGAGAGATTAAACACCGATCGATTTACGTGATTCGCGAAACTGGTACCGTTAAACATTTTTGCAGCGAACATAACGGCCGTGCAAAAAGACCAACATGGTCGATTAGCAGACCGGCTGCATTCTCGCGCGAAATTACCGATGCAATTTCAACGCGATCAAGCGTACAATTAAGGGCAGTGCAACAAGACCGCTGAAAATTGCGAACGTGTTCCGCGTCGAAACCGCGCCGATTCTTTTCCGCTTCGTCCACGTAAATGAACGGTATTATTTTTGCTAGCCATTTGCTTCGAAACGCTTTAAATCTTGAGAGAAAGATTCGCAAGAAAGGTTTTCGTTAGACGCGTGCCTCGCGAGCATGTTGTTCGGTACCGTAAGTTCATAGCTCATAGAGCACGGTTCAATGTCCTATTTAAGGCCGGTGCACGACGGAACCGACGATTTTAAGTGGTACGATAAATTCGAGAGAAGAGACCGAGCATGTCGGAATGCAACGAGAATGACAATGCGCATCGATTTAATCGCACGCGTGGGCTGTTCCTGCTTCTTCCTCTTAATTCTATCCTGCTCTGTCGATGATTTATGTTTCGGAATTATTTAACATTTTATCCTATTAAGCAACGGTAGACTCTTCTGATAATTTTCTACGGGTAAAAGAACCAAACTGAAAGTATGTACAAGAACAAATGAGAAGTTATGTGGTTCACAGTTTCTTTCTTTCGGAGGAAGTCATCCTTGCATTTGTACGATTGATACTATTCTAACCCAACGCTTAAATTACCTACGTTCGAACTAGTTCGACCGGATTGAATAACGCGGCCCGTGGTTACCACACTGATGCTAATTTACAGCAGTTTGATGATATCGCTAGGGTCAACACTCTGTCGACGACGTTTCTGCCCGAAGCGTTGTGCTAGATTATCCGCTTGTCTTATCTGCACGGTTGTCCCACTTTAAAAAACGTATTTCTGATTGACCAGATAGAAACCGTTGTATTACTAATCTTAACTTACATATTTGTAAACAAACTTAAAGAGAACTGTTGCATGGAGAAAATGCACTAATCAATAAATCTAGATGTAACTTAAGCTTAAGAGGATTTAACAATCCAGAAATTGAGGGATTCACAAATTGTGGACATTGATATATTTAGAAGATTGGAAATTTGGAAGTTGGAATTTGATCAGAAGCTGAGAAACTTGAGAAGTTCGATTTGAATTTAAACATGCTAAAAGTACGAAATTTATGAATTCATATATTTTATGCTAAAAGTCCTCTTCACTAGTCCACATCCAAAAGTCTACGTTCGATATAACGAGTCTGTGTTGTATATAACGAGAAAGTTCATACGCAGACAAAGGAATGGATGGAAATCGCAAATGGGAGACAACAATCGCTTTAATCTTGCGGGTCTAACAGGGCAGTAAATTACTGAACCTCGACAATCAGGGAAAGGTCAATATCCCTAATCACGCTGTCACCGACACACAACTTAGCTCAAAGCCTCGCTGCATTACATCGGAGACTCCCTATCCCATAACTTCGCTATAAATCCATTCCCATCAGTGCAAAACTACAATCGCAGAAGTGAACTCGGTATTTTTGAAAGAAAAATACGTTTCACAAACGACCGCATTCAGGCCAACAACCGTTCTGACTCCAGTAATTTCCTTTACAGTTATGCGCTTGCGGAATTTTGGGTGCAGGCCTATGGCTGCGATTGGCTTACTCCGGTTATACAACCTTGGTGCCGCAGTATAGTCTCGCGTCAGCTGACTCGTTGCTGCTCGCTGCCGGATGCGTGACCTTCGTCATCGCCTTCTTCGGATGCTGCGGTGCTTGGTTTCAGTCGAGATGCATGTTAATCACGGTACGTAACCTTCGACGGAGTTCTACCTTTACTACGACCCTTTCATTCTGACCGATCATGTTTCCCTTGCAGTACTTCGGTTTGGTGATACTGATGTTCCTGGCTGAGTTCATGCTAGGCACTCTGGCCTTCATCTTCAGGGACCATCTGGCTAAGAGCCTGAAGGAGGAGCTGTTGGTCGGTATTGAGACGCATTATGATCAGATCAGGGAACCTGGGACGCTGCCTGCTATTTGGGACCACATACACACCGAGGTGAACGCGTCTCTTTATTTTAGTCCATTATGAATTGATGGTAAAAACGAATAGTTGATTGGGTAGATTGTTTGGTGTATCGTTAGGTAAGATCTGTGTGCAGGGTAAAGTGATGGGAAAGCTGTGTCTTTGATTCAAATGACATGATACAATAATATGATCACTGTATGTAATATGATACAGTCCTAAACAGATACCAGCTGATTTTTATTAATCTGATAAATTTGTGATCATAGAATTATGTCAAACCTGTTGTATCAGATTTGAGGTGCATTCTGTTCTGACTGAAAACCGATTTCACCCGACTGCTTGGAAACGTCTTAACTCGATTCGACTTTTACCGGTGGAAGTTAGAATACCAGAAACGTTTTAGGATTCGAAGTAGTCTCAGAATCCCAAATCGATCTCGCTCGACTTTTACCGACCCCCTTCGGCATCAGCCTACTTTCTTTCCACGATTTTCTAATTTTCCGTGTCAATTTCAGTTCCACTGTTGCGGTGTACGGGACTACACGGACTGGTTCCAGATCAACGCGTGGCCATCGGAGAATCGTGTACCCGACTCTTGTTGCATACAGAGAGAACGATATTGCGGTCGTTTGGACGCGGAGGGACACAACAAGGAGTTGTGGTACAAGGAAGGCTGTGCGACGGCAATTCAAATGTGGCTGGTTACCAGGCTCCATGTGGTCGGCATTGTGGGTCTGGTGGTCGCTTTCCTTCAGCTGTTCGGACAAGTAGCGAGCATGATCTTGTTCTGCACCGTCAGGCACAAAAGGTCGTCTCACACGTACAAGAGCTACGACACCACGAACACCTAGAATTTCCGATGGATCTTGGACGAAACGAGTGTCTGAGGTCCGTGAAGAAACATAACAAGAACAGTCGTACCGTGCGCGGTGATGATCACGATCTTCTTCGCGTTCGAAGAAGATTTCGATTGTTAAGCCTGTCCTGTGAGAATAACTCTTCTCGTTGTCTTCCCGATAAGATAACGCATTCCTTCTTCTGTTCAAGTTCGAGTAGGGCCAACAAATCGTTGCGTTAAGATCGTGGAAATTTCTGTTTATCATCGAGCAAGAAAGTGGAGCGAAATGATTAACGAGCACAGCTTAAGAGATACGTACGACGAGTCATTAGGCTAATGGGCCATTAGCGTTGATAAACGAGTCCTTCTTCAGCCGACGACCAATAACGCTCGGTTCTCAACGAAACCTACTGTTAATTCGTACTCCGACGTTGTATACGCGTAAGATTCGAAAGAAACAAAATGGTTTCAACGTAGTATGTTATCTTGCATGCGAATCTGTTTATTTACTAGGTGTTATCACACGCATACCAAAATTGCTGTTCGCACGATCGTTTAAAACGTGTCTGCTCGCGAACACGCAAGTATTTTTATTCGTTTTAAGGTTGTTTGACATCGAGTCGATACAGCTACGGGAAACACAGAGACTCCTTCGCTTAGCTTTAAATCCGCGGCTGTGTCGATCGAACGTTTTTATTTGTATATTTATTTAATCACGCTGTCGCGTAGTTAGCGACCCTGCAGCACGTTTCATGTTTGTTCCACACGTTCACTGAAAATGGAAGAACACTGTAAATTATTTTCACTGACGCAGTTTAACTTAGGAAACGTGTCGGAATAGCGGCAGCTCGTTTATACGTATATCGTTTAATAAATAATATATTTATGCAATGTCCTTTCGCAACACTTTGTATTTCTTTCTGGTTTGCACCTTTGCTAATTTTTTTAATCGTGCAATTATATTCTTGAATGATGATTAGACTGTTTATGCATTAATGACCGATGTCCGAGAAGTATAACATGAGTCTGTACATCATATGATTATTTTGTAGACTTCGATAAATGTTTACCTGCAGTTCAGAGATATAAGAGTGAAAAACACATGGTTGATTTACATGTATTACATCAATGTTTCCACGATAGACTTTGTTCATGACGAGAATTAAATCTAAGGATTCGGAAAAAAGAGGATCTTGAAAAGCTACGGACACCACAAAAGAAATCTTCAATTTCCAAAAGCTTCGGTAAACAAAATAAACAATTTATTAAACTAGGAGTAACAACGTAAACAACCGACTATATCATTTACCCCATCATTCGAGGCCCACCAGCTTCGCCCCAACATGGTTCAACGCCTCCGTGAGTCCACGAGAAGTGGTCTTAGCAGCATTTCGTGGAAACTGAAAACAATCATTTTTTATTATAACGAAACTATCATCTTATATATCAAATGCTTACATCTACGATAGCGTTCAAAAAGTTACTGAATCCCTCGAAGCTGTTGACCAACGCTCTGCCAATCCCAATAAACTTGTCGCCAGTGTTGCCATATTTGTCCTGCTCCTTGATACCGTCGACAATTGGTGTTGGTTTCAAGAAGGACTCCAAAAGCCCTGCCGCAGGCCTAGGAACTGGTTTCTCGAAGAAACTTTGGGCAGATTCGTTTTCTAGCCTCACTGTTTCTCTAGCGTTGGGTCGGGTGTTTGTCACTGGAGGTGGGTGAGAGTCCAAGGTTACTGAAGATGGCTGGACTTCTAGGCTCCTTTCTTGTAGCATTGTAGATTCAGTCTTCGGTTCGGTAGTGTGTGATTTGCTTGTTCCGACCTGATAGACAATATACAAAAAAATATTAGTTCATTCCTGCTATGACGAAGATAACAGTAAATTATCTTCATTTGTGAAAAGCTCAAAGTTGCAAACAGTTGATTCGAGAATCTTTGATTAGATTATTGTTAAAATGGCTGGATTTTTCTTTCAATACTTTTGTCATCAAATTTTTCCACGTTTTACAATCTATTTGATATGCAACAACCTAATACGCGGTTAGAATATTCCAGGTTTAACTTTGATCATCAGGATTCTTCTAAGATAATCACCTGCGCGTGCTCGGAAATTGTTATTAAAAATATGCTACGTAATTACTTATTAAAATTGCGTTACGTTCTAAGAAATATGAAATGTATATAACATTTCGTGGATCGTTGCGTCGACCGATCAATTAAACAAGTTTTATTTGACCTCGACAACTTTTACGCATAATATTTTTTGCATCCCGTCGGGCTCGTTAATCACTCTTGCTACACATGATAGGAAAACGGCAACCTTGTGCCGGATAATTGTGAAACGACCGTCGCCAGGTAATCCGGTGTACTCGATCAGCTTCTTCGTGATTTCTAAAAACCGTCCACATATCGGTGGGAGAGGCGAAGGTTAATCAAGAGAGTGGGCCAATTACCTCCGCACGATCGGCTATGATGTTTCTGGCCAACGTGACAGAATTGACGAATCTTCCAGTTCCTATTCGTATCGCGTCCACGAAACGGCCTAACAACTCCTATAAAAGCCGAAACACAAATTTGACGCGCTGACAATTCGACGTCCTACAAATTCGACGCGTAGCAAACTCTACGTATTGCAAATTCGACGCGCTGCGAACTCGAAGCGCTGCAAATTCGACGCGCTGCAAACTCGACGCGCTGCAAATTCGACGCGCTGCAAATTCGACGCGCTGCAAATTCGACGCGCAGCAAACTCTACGCGTAGCAAATTCGACGCATAGCAATTTCGACCCATAGAAAATTCGACGCATAGCAAATTCGATGCATAGCAAACTCTACGCGCTGTGAACTCGACGCACAGCAAATTCGACGCGCCGCAAGCTCCATGCATATTAAATTCAACGCACTACTATTTAATGCATTACTATTCAACGCGTGGTATCTCAACAATTTACAGTTGAACCCAATTCAATTCGTTCCGAACCAAAGGACCAACGTAAACTTTAACAACCGGCTTGAAGATATTTTTAATTTTGAGGGTATTCCTAACTATGTGCACTTATGGACACATTGCTATCATGAGATGAATAACAAGCTCAAATAATCATAAATCACGAAACTCACGTGAATTTGTTCCAACGTTGACGACACTCGTGAGTCGAAGGTTCTTATAGTATTACCGGTGTTCAAAGTGAATTTTGTAGGTTGTTCTGCAGGTCGAGCGATCGATAGATCGAAAGAGCACAGTATGATCAAAACACAGATGTGTGGAAGCCTCACCCTTAGTGCACACATCGTTCTGCAAAGTCATGGAGAATGCTAGATAAATGATTTCATAAATGAAAGTCTCTATCCTTCACAGAAATGTACTCACTACGAGATTGCTTGTGGATTCGTTGATATGAAATTTTTTTGATGCACCAGAAATACAGAGATGCGGAGAAAGATATAGCAATGTTTTGTAGCTCGAAGTTCGTCGACGACTAAAGAATTTCGCTGTTCCATTACAAACTTGCCTTACGGTCTTGCGACATGCTTACTTTCTCTTTCGATTTGCTCCTCGTTAGCGGCACGTACGTGGATTGAGCGAGTTTTGAACGGCGATAAGTGTTTGTCCGAAAATTCGATTGATATCGAGGAAATTATTATAGACGATGTTCTCCATCGATTGGAGTTAGGGTAGCTGCCCTTGATGGCTCAAAGTGATAGAGAACTTGAGAATGCTTCATTTATGATGTAGGGTGTCAAATATTAGAATAGAAGACAAAATGATAGCACAAAAGATAAAATAGCAGAACTCTGTAGATTGAATGTATTGTAGATGCAGAAAATTATTATTGGGAAGACTTTTTAATTTGCAAAATTTTAATGTACAAATTTAAACATTTTTATGATTCTTAAACAATAGCTGCAGACACAAGAATTTGTTACAATTCGGAATATTGCAAATTCAACGCGTTGTAATTCAACTTATTGAAATTCCACACATCCTAATTTGGGGTGTTGGATTTCGGTGCATTTTAATTCAACGCGTTGCAATTCCGACACGTTGCAAATTCAATGCGTTGTAATTCAACATATTGCAATTCCACGCATCCTAATTTGGGGTGTTGGACTTTGATGCATTTTAGTTCAACGCGTTGCAATTTCGACACATTGCAAATTCAATGCGTTGTAATTCAACATATTGCAATTCCACGCATCCTAATTTGGGGTGTTGGACTTCGGTGCATTTTAGTTCAACGCGTCGCAATTTCAACGCGTTGTAATTCCACGCATCCTAATTTGGGGTGTCAGACTTCGGTGCATTTTAGTTCAACGCGTCGCAATTCCGACACATTGCAATTTCAACGCGTTGTAATTTCGACGCGTTACACTTCAGCGCGTTGCATTTCCACACGCTGTAATTCGGCAGATTGCAATTCAGCGCGTTGCACTTCGACGCGCTGCATTTTGGTGCGCTATACTTTCACGCGTCTTCGATACACAGTTGAACTGCACTGTTGAAATGCACCTTATAATAAGTGAACTTTTTGTATTTCACTTTGATAAGTCAGTACTTCTATTAAAAAGCGAAACCTCGTTTACGTTTAACAATTTTATTTAAGAAATCTCTAAAAAAATATGTATACAAGATAAGTACAATTTTACCACTAAACTAGATAAAATAATTTAACAATATTGTTAAGAGGCGTTGTTCTTTAAGAAGCCGTTCACAGCACCCAACGTCGAAATCGGTATCTGAAAGGAATTGCTTGAATTAGAATTAAAGAATACCACAAAACCATTGCACTATGATTTGTCAGTCAGTCAGAACTAATTACACAATATTAAAACAGGCGAGGTATGTTAAAATGTTATATCAATTTGGTATCAGTCATTGACTACGTAAATGTAACTCCAAATTGAAGTGCGTTAATGCAAGTAAAATTGATCATTGAAGTGCGTCACAAGACTCAAAATAGTGCAAGGGGTTAGTGTATGTTAGCGTCAACGTATTTTGGAGGATCATCGAGGGCAATTAGCCTGCGCTATTTTGCCTTTGAACAATTTATGATAGGGATAGACTGCGTGTAGTCTGAGCGGAAGGTTGTTTATGACTAAGTTTCCATCGAGGGTTCAAATCGGGTCAGAGTCGGGTTAGAGTCGGGTTAGAGTCGGGTTTGAGTCGCGGGTTGGAGTTGCGGCAGAGTTGAACATTACCAACTGCACAAAGTCAACTACCATATTCTGACATGTAAAGCTAATGATGATGATGATGGTTAGTGTTTTGGGCATCGACTGCCATGGTCATTAGCCCAATGTAAAGCTGAGCAATATTAATTTTACAATATCAAAATAACATACAAAAATTATTTCTCAGATTACAAGATCACCGACAAAAAGTAATAATAACCTCTTCTACACCGATTAATACAGCACGTGATACACAATGCAATTTGGATTTGTTATGTTGGCAACATGAACTCGACTTTTGTCGTTTCCACCGAACCTCAATTGAACGCTACCCTAAAATTTTGTAGGGTAGAGTTCAACTAAACCTTTGGTGTTTCCACCGTAAAAGCGCTCACCCCAACCCGACTCTAACCCGACTCTGACCCCATTTGAACCCTCGATGGAAACGTAGTCTATGAGAGTCCAAGTGAGGCGATGGCTATTGACTTGGAGTCGTATGGTCATTAGATGTCGCAGGACTGTTTTGTTAGTTTCTGATATTTTAGGAAAGGATAGATAGTTTGTTATTGAATTGCTTAGTTGAATAGGAACGTTGTTCCTTGAGGATCTGGCCACGTAGCAGTGAGGCAAGGATGCCTTTGATAAAAGGACTAAGTTTGACCTCTCGGCACTTACCCCAGCACCTTAATTGGGAACGGTTCTCTTTTCTAAAAAATATCTAACATGTATAAATACTATTTTTATATACCTTAAAAATATCGTCGAAGAAATGATCACCATTGTCATTTTCTATGGGTACGCCATTTTTATCCAACATGGGTCTATTTGAGGTATACATTGGCACCTGACGACGTTTTCGGTCCTTTTTCTGAGGAGTTTCTTGAGACTCCACGGACGAATTTATGGTGATGTACTTAGTGGGTCCCCAAACTCGTTTCCTGACTCTCCATAAGGGTCGTCCGAACTTTACTCGATGAGGACGTTGCTCTGGAAAATGTATCGGATTAGTTATCTTAATTTAATCAAGAAAAGTTGTCAACTTACCAAGTTGCACAACTTCGTTGACTTGGTTGGGTAAAGGAGGAACTAAGGGTGCCTCCAGTATTGCACCACCCACAACTGTTTGCGGAACTGGAATCGCGGAAAGGGGGTTGAAAACACTGGCTGCTGCTGGGGGTGTTTGGACGGGGTGTACATCACGTTCCTAACATAATTTGGTAAGAAATTATTTCTACGTCGTGGCCTTAAAAAATTTGTCTCGTTTTTGTACCTCAAATTTGTTCTTCATATTTCGTGTAAAACAATATTTTTTTCACTTTGATGTCATTGTTAAATTACCTGTCACACTCGTTGATAAAGTATAATTCTTTATTACAAAAGACAAACGAACGAAATAAACAATTTTATTATTATATCAATTACATTATATAAGTGTTCTATAAATGTACACTAAAATTAAAATTGAGCAAAGCGTGGAACTCGTATTTCCATGGCAAACAAACATAACAAGGTCGGTAACAAACGCATAAAAAGCCACTGGTTTAAACAGACCGGCAGATCCTTTAGATCATTTCGAGTCATTTACCTCTTTGCTCGCCGCGGGCACAACTTGTTTAGAAGTCTCGGTCGATCCTGCTTCCTCGGCCAGTGCCTAAAAAATTCATCCTTGAAAGTCAATCACGTCGCAATACCGTCTAAAGACGGAAGTAACCAATATACCTGCTTTATTTTATGCTGTTTTTTTCCACCGTGAGAAATGATTTGGATGTTGCTTGTACCTTTGCCTGGGTTTCCTCCATTTTGTGCGTTTGAGGTACTGGGTTCATTTGGATTATTCGATCCAGTACTTCCACTTGTAGATACTCCAACACCATGGTCACCCACGCTTGCACCGGCGTATAAACCACCACTGGCTGGGGTTGCCGATCTTCCACTTCCGTCTAGAAGACCGCCTAGACCGGCTCCTACTTCCGATCTTCCGTGTCCGAGACCTGCTCTGGCGTAGAGACCTCCTCCTGTTGAAAAATTGACTTTTTAATAATTTAAAGAGGAGAGATATGTTCGTGGATCGTAAAGACGATGAATAGCAAATTCAGTGGGTTGTATGTCGGAGTATTGCAAATTTGACGTGCTGCAAATTTGACGCGTAGCAAATTCGATGCACCGCAAATTCGACGCGTGGAAAATTCGACGCATTGCAAATTCAACACGACGCAAATTCGACACATTGCAAATTCAACGCGTAGCAAATTCGACACATTGCAAATTCAACGCGTAGCAAATTCAACGCGTGGCAAATTCGACGCTTTGCAAACTCGACGCGTAGCAAATTCAACGCATGGCAAATTCGACGCACCGCAAATTCTACGCGTAGCAAATTCGACGCGCCGCAAATTCTACGCATAGCAAATTCTACGCGTAGCAAATTCGATGCATAGCAAATTCGACGCATAGTAAATTCCACGCGTAACAAATTTGACGCGCTGTGAACTTGAAGCGCTGCAAATTCGACGCGCTGCAAATTCAACGCGTAGCAAATTCAACGCGTGGCAAATTCGATACTTTGCAAACTCGACGCGCTGCAAATTCTACGCGTAGCAAATTCGACGCGCCGCAAATTCTACGTGTAGCAAATTCTACGCGTAGCAAATTCGTCGCGCTGCAAATTCGACGCACCGCAAATTCGACGCGTGGAAAATTCGACGCATTGCAAATTCGACACGCCGCAAATTTTACGCGTAGCAAATTCGACGCGCTGCAAATTTGACGCTCAGCAAACTCGACGCGTAGCAAATTCAACGCATAGCAAATTCGCCGCATTGCAAATTCGACGCGCTACAAATTCAAAGCGTAGCAAATTCAACGAATTGCAAATTCGACGCGTAGCACATTCGACGCATCGCAAATTCGACGCGCAGCAAATTTGACGCTCAGCAAATTCGACACACCGCAAACTCAATACGTTGACAATTCGATGCATTGCGAGTTCAATACGTTACAACCCCATGCGCTGAAATTTGACGCGTTGCAATTCGACACACTGTAACTCGGCGCACCGTAACTCCATGCGCCTTAATTCAGCGCATTGCACTTCGGCGCGCCGCAGTTCAAAGCATTACAATTTCAAGCGAAATTCAACACGTCGCAATTCAACTTGTAGCAATAGGGAGCGCCGCAGTGCAACGCGTTGCAATTTGTCACGCTACTATTCAACACATTGTAATTTGTCACGCTACTATTCAACGCTTTGCAGATACAACGTTGATATTCAAAGCGTTGCAATTCAAGACGTTCATACTTAAAGCATCTTGTCAAGTACACATTTGTAACCCCTCACAATTCGACCCAAACTATACCTTACATTTCGTCTGAATATAATTTGCGTTACAATTAAACGCAGTACATTTCAATATAGCACTGTTAGACGCTCTACAGTTTCCCGTCTATGCATTGCATTCCATAATTTAATTCATCGCATTGCAATTAAGCGTGTCGCAATTGCAGTGTCTATTCAATGCTGATATAACTTGCTAGACTACACTGCCAGGTGACGAAACACTTAACTGAGTACTATTCCTATTTAAAGTGATAATTAGTGATATACTAACCAGCAGTTGCGTCGTCACCACCGAGAGCTCCACCCAAACCAGCTCCTGCATGTGCACCCCATGGTGTTCCAACGCTAGCATGGAGTCCACCCCCTGCTTTGGCGCCTCCAAGAAGTCCTCCTAATCCGGCAGCCGCGTGATAGCCTCCGAAATTGAATCTGATACCTCCGTTGGTGAACTGAATGAATGGTAGCTGCAAAATTGTTACGTAACCAGTTTAATATCTTCAATATTACTTTCTATTAATTACATATCGAAAATATGGGAGAAATCGACCTCGATGGATGGAAGATTTCGTCACGATTCGGAGAAATATGACTGTTGTAGCTTTGTTCTGGTAAAAATGTATGGTGTCATTAAGGATATCTGTGAAGTCGATGCTTTATTCGAGAACTGTACGCTCTTTGCGAAATTTGAGTTTTTATATTGAGAGAGAGAGTTTTATACAATATGCAACGCGCCGATATCCAACGCGTCAATATCCAACGCGTGGAAATCCAACGCGCCGATATCCAACGCGTCGATACCCAACACGCCGTTATCCAACGCGCGTCGATATCCAACTCGTCGATATCTAACGCGTCGATATCCAACTCGTCGATATCTAACGCGTCGATATCCAACTCGTCGATATCTAACGCGTCGATATCCAACTCGTCGATATCTAACGCGTCGATATCCAACTCGTCGATATCTAACGCGTCGATATCCAACTCGTCGATATCTAACGCGTCGATATCCAACTCGTCGATATCTAACGCGTCGATATCCAACTCGTCGATATCTAACGCGTCGATATCCAACTCGTCGATATCTAACGCGTCGATACCCAACGCGCCGATATCTAACGCGTCGATATCCAACTCGTCGATATCTAACGCGTCGATATCCAACTCGTCGATATCTAACGCGTCGATATCCAACTCGTCGATATCTAACGCGTCGATATCCAACTCGTCGATCGATATCCAACGCGTGGAAATCCAACGCGCCGATATCCAACGCGCCGATATCCAACGCGCCGTTATCCAACGCGTCGATACCCAACGCGTAGAAATTCAACGACCACCGAAAGCTACTTTGAAATACTTTACAACACTTCAATATTTGTGCATTAAACGTAAGTCATCGATGTAAATTGATTAACACGTGTCTCGATAAGCTGCAATCTATTTGTAAGCAATATGTTTGGAAAAATTAGTTCGATGACTTGCTAAATTGTAGTTCGATACATTGTAGATGTTTACTATTTATGAAGTGGCCATGACCTTGCTGATCAATTCGTATCTATTAATTGCAACGATTGTTGCACATGATCGTCTAGATGTGCATACTCTATGGACGAATACTTCCGCCAGCCTTTCTCTTCGCGTGGTTGCGTTTGAAAATTACCTAACCGTTTTCCACTGCAGCTCCTTTCTTTTATGTAGACACTTTTTTGTTCACCTGCTGTTCCAGCAATTAGAATTTTATAATTTGAAACTTATTATTAGTTCACTTTGTAATTTGATCATAGTCGGTTTAGTTTGTAATTTGATAATTGTCAGTTTACTTAGCAGTTAGATTAATCAGTAAAGTGTATAGTGCTACTACTTTTTTCCAAAAGATTGATTCCTTTATGAATAGCACTTTTTATAATTTAATTATAGAACAGATTTTACAATTTAGTTATTGAAAACCTTAAAATTCACTAGTTTACTTAATTAGCACTTAATTAATTCTGCAAGCATCTCTTAAAATCAAAAAAAGTCAAAGACCTTGCAGTCAAAAAGTCCATATTCATCTGCAAATATTTGTTACTTATCACTGGACTTAGCAGAAAAAAAGCAAATATCCAAAATCCAAATATAGCTATTACGTTGTCCATCAAATCCGAATTAGCTTTCAAATTACCTTTGAAATTTGCGAGTATCAGGAAAAGACAATAAGTCTTCGAACAAAGAGAACGGCAAACAAAGAATATTTTAAAAAGAAACTCACCCCGGAAGAGTCCTGGCCGTTGCCGCCATTTTGCGGCATTCCGCGCACAATGGCGAAGAGACAAACAAGGAGAAGCACAACAACCTTGCTGCACAGCATCTTTCGATCAACTGACTAGCACCTCGAGCCGCCCCACGGTTTACTAGCGTTTTCTAAAAAGACCTCGAAGGCATCTCTCTGCTTTGCCCAGCGGGAAGGGATAAAGTTGTCTGACGTAGCCTTTGAAAAGAAGAAGAAGTTGTCCGGTCAGTCGCGGTTACTTCGTGACTGACTGGGAACTTATCGTTGAATCGCACGATTGTGCATTGAATGTACTATGATTGTGGGGGTCAAGGTCGTTCTGCGTCGTTAGTTTGTTCGCAAATGGCGTGAAATGAAGAGTTCATGGTCGTTTACGAAAAGAAATTGCACGCGGTGAGATTTTGGAGATTTGGAGATTTGGGACTTTTGAGATTTTTGATAACTTGGAATCTTAAGACTTTAGAATTTTTGGAATTTTGGAAGTTTAGGAGTTCGGGACTTTTGGGATTTTTGGACTTTGGAGTTTTAGGACTTTGGAATTTTTGGAACTTTTGGACTTTGGAATTTTGGAAGTTTAGGAGTTTGGGACTTTTGGGATTTTTGGACTTTGGAATTTTGGAAGTTTAGGACTTTGGGATTTTGGAAGTTTAGGAGTTTGGGACTTTTGGGATTTTTGGACTTTGGAATTTTGGAAGTTTAGGACTTTGGGATTTTGGAAGTTTAGGAGTTTGGGACTTTTGGGATTTTTGGACTTTGGAATTTTTAAAATTTTTGGACTTTGGGACTTTGGAATTTTTGCACTCTTACAGAAGTAGAACTTCGGAATTCTTGGAATTCTTGGAATGTGTGGAGTTTTCTAAGAAGAATACACATTTATAGTTAATTTAGAGTTTAGAGTTTGTAATTAATTTTTGTTAATATTTGCCATTTTCTTTATGATAGTATCAAACTTCCTCAATTATGTTTTGTACTCAAAGTATTCAAATCTCCACACAATTTATTTTATAATTCTATTTATTTATAGTCAGTGTTAAATTAAAAAGATGAAGCGATTCTAAGACTAATCACACATGCAACTTCGTTTTTATGCACGAAGACGTCACTGATGCCTGCAATTTCAGCCAATACGGTAATTATTTTGTCTCGTTGCAAATTATTCCTGAATTATAATATCCGAGCAGACGCACGTAAACTGCCACGTACGCAAGGTTAAATGATTCATGCGAACAATTCAATCGGCTAGTTTATAGAGAAAATTATTTTGTACTCTAAAGATTCTTTTCTCGAAGAGAATTTCGTAGCTGCGTCTAACTCTAGTTCGGGTACAATGAACTTAACAGTAATCATAATCGCCAGAGGCTTTAATTTGAATTAATAAAATATATGCAGTGAAAGGTTGTCGATTTAACGGTATTTTTAGTCTGTCAGTCAGAATGACTGGACAATATGTGGATCTGGGAAGAAAACATTAATTGTGTATGGATCAGAATTTGGTGTTAAATTTATAAATATTTATGAGCGTGGGGAGGATGTTTTCAATACTTTGGTGTATTTTAGGTCATCTTTGTAACAACTTTAGTTGAAATTTATATATTGAAAAATTGACAAATTAACTTGTTGAATAATTGAAAAATTGACAAATTGACTTGTTGAAGAATTGACAAATTGACAAATTGACAAATTGACAAATTGACAAATTGACAAATTGACAAATTGACAAATTGACAAATTGACAAATTGACAAAATGACAAATTGACAAAATGACAAATTGACAAATTGACAAAATGACTAGATGACAAATTGACAAAATGACAAATTGACAAAATGACAAATTGACAAAATGACAAATTGACAAAATGACAAATTGACAAAATGACAAATTGACAAAATGACAAATTGACAAAATGACAAATTGACAAAATGACAAATTGACAAAATGACAAATTGACAAAATGACAAATTGACAAAATGACAAATTGACAAAATGACAAATTGACAAAATGACAAATTGACAAAATGACAAATTGACAAAATGACAAATTGACAAAATGACAAATTGACAAAATGACAAATTGACAAAATGACAAATTGACAAAATGACAAATTGACAAAATGACAAATTGACAAAATGACAAATTGACAAATTGACAAAATGACTAGCTGAAGAATTGAAAAATTGAAAAATTGAAAAATTGAAAAATTGAAAAATTGAAAAATTGAAAAATTGAAAAATTGAAAAATTGAAAAATTGAATAATTGACAAATTGAATAATTGACAAATTGAATAATTGACAAATTGAATAATTGACAAATTGAATAATTGACAAATTGAATAATTGACAAATTGAATAATTGACAAATTGAATAATTGACAAATTGAATAATTGACAAATTGAATAATTGACAAATTGAATAATTGACAAATTGAATAATTGACAAATTGACAAATTAACAAATTGAAAAATTGACGAAGTAAAAAATTGACTAACGTCAAGATTTTCCCCAGACCCGTAAGCTGTAGAGCCAGTCACAACAACTTGGTATTCAGACAAATTGTGGATAACATTCAGACAAACATGGAAAAAAAGAAGAAACAAGATTAACTTCATATATCTGCATCCAATTACTTTTTTTTATCATCATTTTGATCTCGTTTCTACTAACGTCATCAATATCATTTCTGTAAAACGCCAATCATTCTTCTTACTCAGCAGACATTGACTATTTCGTGGAAACGTCATTAAAATGAACGTCAAAACTATCTCATGGTCAAACACAAACCTGCTTTTCCTGGTTCCTTGAAATATTAATCAGGTTATGGAAATTTCTTTTCTCTGTGTCACCGCTGAATTAATTAACCAAAATAAATGAGTGCGTGGAACGTTTAGGAAAGGGTACTATAGGAAATTACTGGATTCACTATGAATCATATTTTGTGAGGTATGCTGTTGCAAAAATTTCTGAAGATCTTCTAAGGCCTTCTGAGTTCAGTGTTTCTCAGATTTCCCCAGTTTCTAAAATCCCAAACTTCCACGGTTCCAAATTATAAAAATTCCGAAGTTCTAAAGAACCAAAATCCCAAAGTCCAAAAATCTCAAAAACCCCAAAGTTTCATAGTTCTATGATTTCGAAGTCCCTAGCTTCTAATGTCCCAAAATCCCAAAACCCCAAAGTTTTATATTTTATTTGCCACCCGCAGAAATTAAATTGTCTCCACAAAATATTTCCATTCGTAAGGTGATAGAAGTTACGATCGTTTTAGACAAAGAAATAGGAAGTTTATTTCAATTCAAAGCGGCACACGCACACGTGCTGTTCCTTTTCGTCCACGATGTAACGCTCGAATAATATGGGCATTTTTCACAGCAATCGCGTTGACTCGCATGTCAATTCACAAATTTTTCGTGACTTCCGTACAAACTTGTCCTTGCAGATTTTTCGAGAACCTCACTCAGAAACTATAAATCATGCACACGTGTTTTCGCGATACAAATCAAAGTTGAAAACACATTTAGAACTCATACAATTTCATTAATCGCTTTCATTAAGATATAGAAACAGTAATTGCGCTGCGCATTCATAAGCAATTTAAACACTGATAATATCTTTCGCTGTTATCTTATCATAATTTCCAATAAGTATTATGAATCTTCCTCATTGTGTTTGCTTCACTTTCGCATACCTTTCATTAACAGGAGGTCATTAGTGCTATAAATTTAATACAATCAAGACAGGAAATTCTTTAATTTTATGCAATACATAAGTATTATACTTATGCAAGATATTGCGTTCAAATTTAAATTTGCAGAGTTGGAGGATTTCTGACGATTTTATGTGTGGTCATACATCGTGGAGATTTAATGCATGCAGATGCTATGCATGGTAATTTGTGGTTGGAGAGACAATGCATGGAAATGTACTGTGTGGAAGTACAATGTGTGGAGGTTCGACGAGAGAGAATACGGTGAGTAGAAGTTTAATGTGAGGAAATCCAACGCATTGATATCCCGCGCGTCGGTGTCCAGCGCGTCGGTATCCAACGCGTCGGTATCCAACGCGTCGGTATTCAGCGCGTCGATATCCAACGCGTCGATATCTAACGCGTCGGTATCCAGCGCGTCGGTATCCAACGCGTAGAAATCCAACGCATCGATACCGAACGCGTAGAAATCCAACGCGTCGATATGCAGCACATCGATACCCAATGCGTCGTTATCCATCGCGTCGGTATTCAACGCGTCGGTATTCAATGCGTCGCTGCTTCACTTGTGTAAATTCAACAAGTGGAATTCTAATGCGTAGAAATACAATGCGTGGAAATGCTATGCGTGGAAATCCAACGCGCCGATATGCAACGCATGGAAATCCAAGGTATCCGTACTCAATGCGTGGAAATCCAACACGTCGATATCCAACGCGTAGAAATCCAACGCATCGATACCCAACGCGTAGAAATCCAACGCGTCGACATCCAGCGCATCGATACCCAATGCGTCGGTATCCATCGCGTCGGTATCCAACGCGTCGGTATTCAACGCGTCGCTACTCCACGTGTATAAATTAGACGAGTGGAATTATAATGCGTAAAAATACAATGCGTGGAAGTGCAATGCGTGGAAATCCAACGCGCCGATATCCAACGCATCGATGTCCAACGCGTAGAAATCCAACGCGTCGATATCCAGCGCGTCGATACCCAATGCGTCGATACCCAACGCGTAGAAATCCAACGTGTCGATACCTAACGCGTCGATATCCAACGCATCGATACCTAAAGCGTGAATATACAATAACTGGAGATCCACTGCATACAAATTCACCTCATAAATTTCCCAAACATGAAAATCCAACGCATGAAGATCCATTTACCACACACCGCATATAACAAATGTCCCAGATAAAACGAAAGTTTACCATAGTTATCATAATATTTTCCAATTTTCCTTCGTCAAACACTCCACATTTTTACCGAGCATAAATAGCAACGAAATGATTCATTCTCTTAAGCTTATCGGCGTTACGATGACTCTGTAAAATTGTTCACACGTTATATAATTCTGTGCTAATACTGTTTTCTTTAATTTCCATACGAACACGAAAGCCAACGTACATTATCAGTTTTTTGATTTTAGCCTTAACAATATTGCCTTGTCTTTCAAGACTGAAACGATATTCTGTTGCTCTTGGGTGCAATTTTGTTCTCCAGCGGTGCATCTTCTTCGAATCTGGGTCTGTCTCTTGAACTTGCAATTTTGTGCTGTATTTTGTATCCGTTCGATATGTCGTCTTTGGGAGCGATTTTGTTTTGTATGGTAATCTCTGCTTGCGTTGGTCGAGAGCCGTAGAGGGATCCGAAACCAGCGGTGATACCGTGCCAGGAGTAGTTCGTGTCTTCTTCTACGTTCTCGTGGACTTCGTAGGTGTTTTGGTTGTTTGTGCTTCCGTGACTTCCGTGGCTTCCAAGGGGACCTGCAACAAATTTTTTGGTATTCATGGATCGAAGTACAAATACATGCAACTATGGGTGCAGAACAACGCTACATGTGCGAATAATTTGCAATAAAAATCATGAACTATTTTGATGAACGATGGTATTTAATACCAAGGTGAAACGCTAGAAACGACACGCAGCTAATTATTCCAAATACTATTTCATTTTCTAATACGATCTCTCTCACCTTAATAAACTACCGTAATATAAATATAGTGATCAATACAACGCTTGGAGATTCGACGAGAGAGAATACGGCGCGCAGAAGTTTGATGCGTGGAAATCTAACGCGTCGGTATCTCACGCGGCGATATCTAACGCGTCGGTATTCAACGCGTCGGTGTTCAACGCGTCGGTGTTCAACGCGTCGGTATTCAACGCGTCGGGGTTCAATGCGTCGGTATTCAACGCGGGTAAGTTCGACGAGTGGAGGTGTAATGCATAGAAATACAATAGGTGGAGATCCAACGCGTGGAAATCCAACGCGCCGATACCTAACGCGTCGATACTCAACGCGTCGATACCCAACGCGTCGATATCTCACGCGTCGATATCTCACGCATCGGTATCCAACGCGTCGATATCCAGCGCGTCGGTATTCAACGCGTCGATATTCAACGCGGGTAAATTCGACGAGTGGAAGTCTAATGCATAGAAATACGATGGGTGGAAATCCAACGCGTGGAAATCCAACGCTTAGAAATCCAACGCGCCGATACCTAACGCGTCGATATCCAACGCGTGGAAATCCAACGCTTAAAAATCCAACGCGCCGATACCTAACGCGTCGATACTCAACGCGTCGATACCCAACGCGTCGATATCTTACGCGTCGGTATTCAACGCGTCGATATTCAACGCGGGTAAATTCGACGAGTGGAAGTCTAATGCATAGAAATACGATGGGTGGAAATCCAACGCGTGGAAATCCAACGCTTAGAAATCCAACGCGCCGATACCTAACGCGTCGATACCCAACGCGTGGAAATCCAACGCTTAGAAATCCAACGCGTCGATACCTAACGCGTCGATATCCAACGCGCGGAAATCCAACGCTTAGAAATCCAACGCGCCGATACCTAACGCGTCGATACCCAATGCGTCGATACCCAACGCGTCGATATCTTACGCGTCGGTATTCAACGCGTCGATATTCAACGCGGGTAAGTTCGACAAGTGGAAGTCTAATGCATAGAAACACAATGGGTGGAAATCCAACGCGCCAATACCTAACGCGTCGATATCCAACGCGGTGTTACGCAGTACGAGAAATCTAGAGCACCCTTTACTATCATCTACATAAATACAAATATTTACCATGACCACCATGACCGCCATTCCCACCATGCCCACCATGACCACCATGCCCATGGCCACCGTGACCACCAAAAACACCTTGAATACTACCTAAAATCCCATGATTACCAACCAGGAAGGTTAAGCTGTTCAAACCGAACGGATCTTTATCCTTTATCTTGAAGGTCTTCTTCATTTGCTGTTGCTTTATACGTTGCTGTTGCAGTTGCTCTCTTTGCGCCCTTTGTCGTTCTCTTTGAGCTATTATTCTCTCTCTGCGTTCCTGTCGTATGCGTTGCAAGTCATCCGTTTGACGTCTTTGGCCTGACGTTGCTTTTACTAAATTGCCGACAGCTTCCAGGGTTGAGACGGGAATCTTAAATGTACAGACAAATGTATAGACACTCTTTATATTGCCGCTAACATAGTTTGTATAGAATAAATAGAATATAATAAGATTCTAAATAGAATAAAATACCGTACCTGTAAAACGCTGTCGACGAGTTGCGAATTTTCCGGACTGAATGACTGAGCGGCTGCTGCTGTCTGCTTGATGGCCGTGATCGGTATCTAAAATTGCATAAAATTTAATTTTAATACAAGTATATATATTTAATACAACTACAAAGAACATAGATTGTCTTACATTAAAAATTTTGTCTATCACCTGACCACCCTGTTCAGGATAATTCTGTCGTTTCATTCTGTGAAGCATCTGCAATAAAATGTACAATTTTTGACAGGTGTGTCTCTTTCAAAAGAAGGAGGCCTACATAACGAAATCATGGTTATAAATTCGTAGATGCGGGTTAAAAGTTTGGCGATGCCCACAGGGATTCAGCTGCTCGTATACCCACGTTCTTTGCCAACTTTCACTTTTACATTTCACTACATATAAAGAACGTCAAATGATTTACTGCCTGGTGATCGAAAGGTCATCGTATCTTGTGTCTTCGATCTCGCACTGAATTTCTTCTGTTGGGAATTTATTTTCTGTTGAGGGATTGAACCTTCATTTTGTTTTCAGAATGTATTCCTTTATTTTCTAAATAGTTTAGGAATTCTTTATTTTGAACTTTTTAAAGGAGGAATTATGTTTAACATTTTGATTTGTTCAAATTACTTTCGAAATCTGAAATTCAACTACCCTTGTCTGTTCTAAATCAAATCTTTTCCTTCTTCAAGTTTAATATAGAATTCTAAATATTATTATTGCTCCGCAAATTGTTAAAATGTGAAACAGTAGACAACGCTCATCAACAACACCGACCAGTTAATCTTACAATACGAATAACAACAAGATTGAAAATAAATTACCTACTCCTTAGATTACCTTTGAAATCGATTTGTATAATAGAATTTTGCTCTATAATTAAATATAACGACAATAAAAATTGAAATTAAGAATGGTACAAGTGCGAAATAGAAATAGAAATGAAACTCACCCCCTCCGAAGCAACGACGCAAACCAAAGCAGCAAACACAACGCACTTTCTCCCCAACATTTCAGTGACACGTTCGATTTGATCCTCTTGATCAACAAACTGCAAGAAATGTTCGATCCACGGATCTATAAGGGTGACTGCAAGATCCCACGCCAACGATCGACCAATCACAACCTCAGACTTACCGATCTTCACGCAATACTTTTCGATCACCGATCCTTTCTATTTCACGTAATCTTCGTACACACTGTCAGCCCCTCCTTTGCTTCTTTCACCGAGCGTTACGTAGGCGGAATCACTGTTATAAAATCTGTTTGAAAAGTGCATCTCCTGAATATGTAACTGACTGCATATGCAATCGTAATAAACACATTAAATTTTTTTTGTTTTTACAACTTCGAAAGTAGCTCTTTATGATGGAGTGACACTAGCAAGGGAATATAGAAAGAGGATATTTTGAAGAGGTAATCTACAGACAGATGCAAATGGTGAGTCAACAGATCTGAAATAACACTTTGCAAGATTCACTGAACGTTTATGATAGATTCTAGGTAAATTCTTCAGTAAATTGATTAATAAAAAATTACACTTCATTCATGTTTTGCTATAAGCTCGTTGACATCAAAATTGCAAAACAGAAAAGAGTTCAGAATAAAAATTGCTCACCTATAATACTACTCACCAATACTTGCAGACAAAGACTTTCAGACACTCGATGCAGTTAACGAAAGACGCTCCAAAAAGCACCTCGTCCGTTCAATTTTTCAGAGGAATCCACGCCACTCCGGTGATCCACATACATATAAGGGCGAGTCAGAGATTTCACAGCACACACCGACCAATCGAAAGCAGCCAAAGGTGCTTTCTACTCACCGCAATCGGACTTCTCGAATTCGCGTGATACCTACCTGTTTTCCTGATCACCCGTACGTGGGTCGCTTTGTTACATAAATATTCGGGCGATGATCTTTCGAAGTGACGTAACGTGGGCCAGATACAAACTGATGATGTTTTGAAACAAATCGTCCTTGAGCTCGATTCGTATTAGGATGACTGAATTTTCTTGTTAAATTCAGAGAGAACCTAACCGAGAACTAAAAGTATACTTCTCCTACAATATAGACAAATGAAAAATCCCCTAAATGAAAGGTGACTTATCCACTGTTACACTCTCTATGTTAGACTCTTCCTAGATTCTAAGTGTTGTTGATTGAGTTCTAAGTCAACAAGTTTCAAGTTTCGAATGTACGTTTTAATCCAAGTCGTAAAAAGTCTTTGGCTACAAGCTAACGAAATATACATCGATTTCTATGAATTAATCTTGTAGTTCCTTTTCAGTAGGCATTGGGATTGTCTTGGAGGTACATGCCCACCTGTTTGCCCAAGTCTTTTTGAAACTCCTTCACGTTCACCTCCGATTGCTGGAAAATTAAAGAACTTCAGTAATCACTGACTTTCTGAATTGCTCAACAAGATAAAACTTCGTCTCACGTTCAACGCATCCTTCCACTCGATGTTGAACAGTCTAACGAGACCCAGAACGTTTCTCCTGATTAATCTCTGTAGGCTACCTCTAGTTAACGTGAAGTTCATGCTAGGTCTTGGTGTGGTCGTGATCGATGAACTGGTCGCGTTTCCGGTTGTGTTTGTAGAATTAATGGCTGTTAATGCACTCGTCATGGAAGCCTGGGTGGCTGAGTCGGGTGCGATATTATTGTTGATGATTTCGGTGATCTGTTTGATCGCTGATGACGTGTCATTGATTGTCTGAAATTAGAAATTTATAGTCTGTCGTGCAAATAACACGTAATGGTTTAAATAGATAACATTTGATATGTAATAATAGATATGGAATTTCAATCTAAAGAATGAAATCGTACTTCGAACGTGACCCTCGCCAAGGTCCAAAAGAACCCTGGTTTATGCTTTCGAACCTCTCGAACAACCCTTTTCGACTCTTCAGGTATGATTTTCTCCCCAATCGCGTTGGTATCAAGGTCCTTCTCGTTCGAGTCTTCAGACAACAACTTATCAAGTATTTTAAACTTCTCCAAAATCTCCTCCTCTCTCGAATCACTTTCCTCGACCTCTTTCGAGTCCTCTTGTTTCTCAAGATTCGGTCCAAAGTAATTATACGGTAGGTGGTCAGTTTCAGGTACTCTTTCAGTGTTTGGCAAGCTTCGATAATTTAATTCTAAGCTGGGTGGTCGCTGGTATGTCACAGGTGCTTCATGACCGATCGACGATTGATATCGTGGAAGTTCTGGCACGCGATGCAGCGGATACAATTGGCGATCCACCGGATTGTACGTTTCATAATTCATCCAGTATGGTGGCTGAGGGTCGCTGTGGAGGGGGTGCACGATACACAATAGCGATATGCCAGTCAGGAACAAATTAATCGGCGGCACCTGCATCTGTAATCAAACGCTCTTTATTAATCGTCCAGTTCTGATATGACGCGAAAGCAAAAGGTACACAAGTATGTCTGAACACGTGTGTTTCGACAGGAAACAGTAATTCTGCTCCTGTGTTTCAATAGACACAGTAATTCTATTTAAATGACACTCATTTAAGTGACACTTTTAATTAGGGTGTTTTATCTAACTTGTGTGAGTGTTTTAGTTAACTTGCTTTAATATTCACTTAATTTTTATTTGATTTAATACTTGGTATTAATTAGTTTGAGTATGAAATTGATTTTTGTCACTGGTGACCAAACATTCAATTAATAATTTGATATTAACTAGTTTGAATATGAAATTGATTTTTGTCACTGGCAGCCAACGTTTCAATTAATAATTTGATATTAACTAGTTTGAATATGAAGTTGATTGTTGTCACTGGCAGCCAAAGTTTCAATTAATAATTTGATATTAACTAGTTTGGATATGAAATTGATTGTAACGATCACTTTTAACTAATAATTAATTGACAATGATTGTAATAGAAGGTAAGAAATGAATGACAATAAAATCGAGATACTTGCAGTGCCATGAATTCGCGCGCAAGTCCCAGGAACTCGATCCACCGGTTCGACCATAATGAAAGAAGGAAATCGAAGAACTAATGGAACCGCGATTGCCAGAAGGCGTTGGCCATTTTCTCGCGAAATAAGTAGTTAATCGTACACGGTATTCGCGTGATTCCCATCACGTAAGCCGAGAATCCCGCCAGGAAAATGGGAAACGCGATTAAAGGCGATTCGTATTCGACTCGAGATTCGATTTAAAGCGTACCATCCATTGGCCAACTATCGACTCGCGGGAAATTCACCCACAAGCACATTCGTGTGAAACACGTGTGTGCACGGCAGTCAAGCGTGCGTCGAGGAACAACGAAACGAGGAAATTTCAAAAACAGGATTTACCCGCGCATCAGCGTCGCGCTTTCACTGTTTCCACTTTCCAGCGCACTTGAAAAATGATCGATTAACGCGATGCAGCTGTGCGCGAGGTTCGATCAAACACGCGATTCGATGGAACGGGAGGCAGACGGAGAACGACTGGTCAGTAACGATCGAAATTCAGTCTGTGGAGGGTCCCTGGCCCAGTGGTTGGTCTCCTGCTCCATTTTCACCGGACGTGACCTCCGAGAAGACGCGTGCAGGGAATTCACTAGCGGCGATATTTCGGGACTTTCGAAACGATCGTTCTTGGATTTTCGTCATCGTTTTCGATGTAATTGCGATTGCGATATACTGGCTACACTGGGCTTTCGTTGGTCGATGTGATGGTGTGTTGCTTTGTGGATGGTGGGATTTTATAGTTGGAATTACTTTTTGGATTTTTGGGAGTTTGGGATTTTGGAATTTTGGGATTTTGGGAGTTTGGGAGTTTGGAATTTTGGGAGTTGGGTATTTGGGATTTTAGAAGTTTTGGACATTGAGAGATTCGAATTTAGAGAATTTGGGATCTTGAGAGTTTTGGATTTTGGGAGTTTGGGATCTTGGGAGTTTGGGATTTTGGGAGTTTGGGAGTTTGGGATTTTGGGATTTTGAGATTTTGGGAGTTTGGGATCTTGGGAGTTTGAAATTTTGGGATTTTGGGATTTTGGGATTTTGGGATTTTGAGATTTTGGGAGTTTGGGATCTTGGGAGTTTGGGATCTTGGGAGTTTGGAGTCTTGGGAGTTTGGGATTTTGGGAATTTGGGAATTTGGGAATTTGGGATTTTGGGAGTTTGAGATTTTGGGAATTTGGGATCTTGGAAGTTTGGGATCTTGGGAGTTTGGAATCTTGGGAGTTTGGGATCTTGGGAGTTTGGGATCTTGGGAGTTTGGGATTTTGGGAATTTGGGATTTTGGGAATTTGGGAATTTAGGATCTTGGGAGTTTGGGATTTTGGGATTTTGGGATTTTGGAATTTTGGAATTTTGAAATTTTGGGATTTTGGGATTTTGGGAGTTTGGATTCTTGGGAGTTGGGGATTTTGGGATTTTGGGATTTTGGGAGTTTGAGATCTTGGGAGTTTGGGATCTTGGGAGTTTGAGATTTTGGGAGTTTGGAATCTTGGGATTTTGGGATTTTGGGAGTTTGGGAGTTTGGGATTTTGGGAGTTTGGGATTTTGAGAGTTTGGGAGTTTGGGAGTTTGGGACCTTGGTAGTTTGGAATCTTGGGAGTTTGGAATCTTGGGAGTTTGGAATCTTGGGAGTTTGGGATTTTGGGAGTTTGAAATCTTGGGAGTTTGGGATCTTGGAAGTTTGGGATCTTGGAAGTTTGGGATCTTGGGAGTCTGGGACTTTGGAAATTAGGGGTTTTGGTGCTTTGCGAATCTGCAATTTTAGACTTTGGAAGTTTAGGAATTTAGGAATTTAGAAGTTTAGAAATTTAGGAATTTAGAAATTTAGGAGTTTAGGAATTGAGGAATTTAGAAGTTTAGGAGTTTAGGAGTTTAGGAGTTTAGGAGTTTAGGAGTTTATGATATTGAGATTTTGAGATTTTGGGATAAAGTTTTGGAACATCAAGAGTTTGATACCGTAATAAACAATGCAACAAAAAATTACCGTTTTCGAATTACAGAATTATCTCCAATTATATAATAGAGTTATCTATGATCAGAATAGTTTGCAACTATGTAGCAAAAATAGTCAGCGACTGCAATATAAAACTTTCAGTAAACGTTGCGTTACCTGAATTCGAACACGAGGTCACCCAGTTTTTCCACATTCCGCAAATGTGCCTGTTTCGATCGTTTCAGCCCTTTGCAATGATTAGGAACTATTAGAACGCATTAGGTAATCGATAGTCATCACGTAATACCAATTAAGGTGAAATCAAAGCTGCCGATCGGGTTGGAAAATTAATACGCTTGATAATGGTTCGTTACGAATGAATTCTCACGATACTTAATATTATGTTAATGCTTAGAATAATTCTAAACGATATGAAACAATCATATGTGTAAATGATACGTGTCTGATATATTTGTTATAGGAATTTTCTAGTTGTCTTAAGTGTAAACATTTGATTCTTTACTGTTGTTGCCTTTATCGAGATTGGAAAATGATTCAGTTAACACACATGACCATTTTTCACTACCATACGCTTGTGTAAACCACTGGACCAGCAACTGAAACTTTCTACGGAAGTTTCACGAGTTATCGAGCAGGAATTTCTGTCGATTACGCGATCACGTGAAAGGTGAACCGATCGTTAAATGCATTTAACTCTTACAGAACTTTGGACCAGTAGACGACCATTTTTGATGTGTAATTTATGTATTTTATTTAACCTTGTGTCAGGTAACCTCGACAGGTAACTCAATTTCTACATTTCCTATGTTTTATTCAAATCGATAATGAACGACATGAAAAAAATAAAGGTACTAATTAAATGTAATGATATATCTCACTAAACCTGTCGACTTCAATGTCCTCTCCTTCTTCCTTTCTTCTAATTACACAGCAAGTCAACCCATGATTATTCCAGTGACATCATCCAAATAAGTTCAACCAACAAATGTCACACCTTCACAAAGTGACTCACTCAGAAGTTAGATAATGACACTCAAATGTGTGCATATAGTGGTAAAGATCGAGTGAATTTATTCGCGATGAATAGACCGTGCAGTGTGCGTGCAGCTCGCACTTAGGTAGAATTGATACTTGACGTTTGAAACAGAAACACGTGGACCGGGTTACGCTTGCCTCAAGGATCTTTCACTTTCACTGTTCGCTGTCACGCGACCACGTGTTTCGAACATAGATCGCTTTTTATTGGTCCTTTCATCTTTTAGATTGATTCGATTGCATATGAAGGGAGTTTCTTAATTTATCAATTTTCCGATTTGCTAATTTAAGTTTAGCATTTTGTAGTTCTTTGGTATTCTCACTTTTGGAGTTTGTCAATTTCCCAATTTCACTTTTTCCCACTTTCCCTATTTCCTAATTTCCCAATTTCCCAATTTCCCAATTTCCCAATTTCCCAATTTCCCAATTTCCCAATTTCCCAATTTTCCATTTTTCCAATTTCCCAATTTCCCAATCTTCCAATTTCCCAATCTCTCAATTTCCAAATCTCCCAATTTCCCAATCTTCCAATTTCCCAATCTCTCAATTTCCCAATCTTCCAATTTCCCAATCTCTCAATTTCCAAATCTCCCAATTTCCCAATCTCCCAATTTCCCAATCTCTCAATTTCCAAATCTCCCAGTTTTCCAATCTCCCAATTTCCCATCTCCCTATCTCCCTATCTCCCTATCTCCCTATCTCCCTATCTCCCTATCTCCCTATCTCCCTATCTCCCTATCTCCCTATCTCCCTATCTCCCTATCTCCCTATCTCCCTATCTCCCTATCTCCCTATCTCCCTATCTCCCTATCTCCCTATCTCCCTATCTCCCTATCTCCCTATCTCCCTATCTCCCTATCTCCCTATCTCCCTATCTCCCTATCTCCCTATCTCCCTATCTCCCTATCTCCCTATCTCCCTATCTCCCTATCTCCCTATCTCCCTATCTCCCTATCTCCCTATCTCCCTATCTCCCTATCTCCCTATCTCCCTATCTCCCTATCTCCCTATCTCCCTATCTCCCTATCTCCCTATCTCCCTATCTCCCTATCTCCCTATCTCCCTATCTCCCTATCTCCCTATCTCCCTATCTCCCTACCTCCCAATTTTCCCCCATCCCACAATTTGATAAAATTAAACTCTTCAGACATAAAGATAGTACCCATAAATAGTACCGTTTTCCTTCGATGACAACTGTTTCACTTTCTACTCACTTTTATTTGCTCCGCGCACACAATTGTTGCGCAATCTGCTGTCCCACCAATTCTTATGCAATTCCTCGTTATCTTCTCGCGTGCAGCTGATTCCTCTGCCTATAAGAAACAACCCATATAATTTTGTACAAAGATCTTTAACTACGAACCAAATAATCCATTGTTGTACCCAATTTTCCGTGAAAACTGAAACCGTGAGTGTTCCTTACAACTTCCAGAAAGGACTTCGTGACAGTGACTGCAGACCTAGATCGTTTTAATATCTCAATAACTCTGCTGCAAAAAGGAATAAAAAAGTAAAATCCTTGTACCGTAATTTAGCGTGTCATTCATGTTTGAATGTCGTGTTCTCTGACCAATGCATTGATTTCGTTTCTCGTTCGAGGATGTGTATGAATATAGAACACAAATTTGGGTACGTGGTATATGAAGTTTCACCCGTCAGACATTTCGGCAATGTGTTGTATAATAGTACGGGGACGAATTGGTTTTTACGTAATGACTTCGTAATGAGTTATGAAATAGTCAACGAGGATACTTTGAACTCTGAAGGAATCTACGAATTCGAGAAGTGAAGTGGGAATATATGTATGGAAAATTTATGTAGTTTTTCGATGGAAAATTTTAGGATCATTCTTTATATTTTTTTTTAGTTATTGATAGTATAGACATGATGGTATAGTACACTTTAATTATATTGCAGTAGTAGAGCGGGAATAGTGATAGATTGGTACAGTTGCTGATATACTGAGTTTGAGGGCGAGTGGCAATATCATGCGTGGAAAATACGGAGTGTAGGGTATACAACGCGTGGTGATTTTACGAGCGGATAATACAGCGCGTGGTGATTCCACGAGTGGAAAATACAGCGCGTGGAGAATACAACGCGTGGTGATTCCACGAGTGGAGAATACAGCGCGTAGAGAATACAACGCGTGGAGAATTCGACGCGTGGCGATTACAGCGCGTGGAGCATACAACGCGTGGTGATTCCACGAGTGGAGAATACAGCTTGTGGAGAATACAACGCGTGGAGAATACAACGCGTGGTGATTCCACGAGTGGAGAATACAGCGCGTGGAGAATACAACGCGTGGTGATTCCACGAGTGAAGAATACAACGCGTGGTAATTCCACGAGTGGAGAATACAACGCGCAGAGAATACAACGCATAGAGAATACTACGCATGGCGATTACAACGCGTGGAGAATACAACGCGCAGTAATTCTATACTTGAAGAATACAACGCGTGGAAAATTCAATGCGTTGAGAAGTCGATGCGTGGCGAATACAACGCGTAACAATTCTACGCATAATGAATCCCTAACACCACAATTTTAACGAAATACAAAAATCCCCAAAACTCGTGTCTCCAAAAAAATTCATAAAAATTATATAATAAAAAATGTATTGTTACAAAATTCCTACCTTAACGAAAGACCAAAAGTCAATGAAGTTTCTTCAGCGATTACTTTCGCAGTTTCCGGGTGTGCAGGGGATCCACGCAACAGCTCCGCGCAAGAACAAGTGCATCTTGTTGGACGGCAGAGCCGACACTAACGAGATGAGTCCCACTGTCTCCCGATGCCTGGAATCACTCACGAAGGTCGTTCGCGTTTTTACGAAAGATCTGTCTACGTTCAAGGAAAGAATTGACGAAATTCCGGTAACATACCCTCCTTCCCACTCCTCTGTTCTTGTGGTGAATCACTCGCGGACGAAAATACAGGATACTTTGAATAGAAATGGTATGTGGAAAATTGGGAAATCTTGGCTGACGTAAATTGAATGTAAGTGGGATTGTTAATCATAAATGTTTTTGCGAATAGATTGTATTTCGAGGAATACTGCTTGAAGATTGTAGTTACAGTATTTGTTTAATGTGTAATAGTGAACTGGTTTATTTAAGCAAAAATTGAAATTTGATTTTGATATTGTTATTTAAAGAATGTAGAATTTATATTAAAAGAATGAAGATGTTTGTACAATTTAAAGAATGTGATAAATTTGTTTTTAAAGAATTATGTTTGCAAAGAATATTAATATTCACATTTATCAATAAAATTAATCACATTCGTTAATAAGAATCAATCACTTTCATGAACACAATATTCAAAGTCTACACAAATCCATCTGCACAAAATCTACAAATTTAACTTAAGATTTGTCTACAAAGTGCCATCTGCTTATCTGAATTGCTTATCCAATTATTTATCCAATCTCATACAAAACCTTCTATTAAATTTTAAAAAATTCGTGGATGACAAACGACCTCTCACTATATTGCCGATCCCAGTACACAGACTTATGAATCTACCAGCGCCTAGCAGAATGCAAACTTTTCAACTCCTACGTCCATCCAGTGGCAACTACAAAGGCAGTTTCTTACAACTCATAAAATAAGTCATGGGAACAGTAACCAATTTTGCATGAATGACCAATGTTGTCAGAGGATCGTAATGGTTACAATGGCGAACACTTTGTACTATGACTACGAGTATCATAGAAACGAGAACGTGTCTTACATGGAAATTATTCATCTAGCTCATCGGTGTCGGTAGATCTGGGTCAAATCTCTTCACGCGACCTTCTGTTGATAAATTAGCTGAATTTTTATTGAGATAAATGATGATGAGTGTGATTAATTGTCTTCTGGGAAGTTTACTCTTTTCTTTTAGAATTTATTGACTTTTTTGTTGTGTGAGCTAAAGTGCAAGGACTCTAGATTCTATCTAGATTCTGTTTTAGACTTCCTAGGTACATTCTTAGACTTGTTAGGTTGTTCCTAGAATTTCCCTGAATTTTTTCAAGATTTTCCTAAAGGTTCCATCTTCTATAATTATTTTTAGTGACATATTTTACAATTATTTTAATTAATTAAAACGATGCAGTCAAATTCAATCATTGTGCATCAATTGTGTGCAACCTTGTATTACATGCATAAAGGATAAAAAAGAACAAATTTAGTTTATGAATAATTTATTTATCTACAAAAGTATCGATACAAAACTACATAAAAAAATACATTGTAAATGTATCTTACATCTTCCATACGCTTCCAATCGATTCACGTGTTCAAACGCGTTCTATTTTGTATTAAACTTACGCAAGTACTGAAAAAAAAGAATTGTTGCATGGGAATCACGGCTGCGTGATAATTATACCGGAACGTTGAGCAATTAAAACCAGTGTGTTAATCAGGTTTCGTAGGTTACGCTTTAAATATCGATTAACGTATTGATAGAGCTATTTAATAATGTATATTTGTACCGTCATACCTCGCATAAAAAACTTACGTACGGATTAAATTGTTTCTTCTATTCAAAGAAAAGTTTTTGGTTTATTAATAACTGAATTAATAAATTAACACTCGGAATGTCAGAAATCGTTAAGCAAATAACAAATTGTATGCTCTAACTCGTAGATCCGTCTGGTTTGCTTATCTAGAAAGTATCTCGCAGGTGCAAACGATTTCTCGCCGGAAGGTAAAGTGACAAGTATTGCATTTGGAAGAAAAGGAAGGAAATTGGAGGAGAATTTTCTTTTCGTAAAAATTGTGCGGTTGATCAGGAACAATATTGGTTAATTGCGAGTTCTGATACGGGTTTGAACATATTTTTAATGTGCATTGGCGTAGTTAGGATATTTCTTGTTCTGGATTAATCAAGTTTCAAACCTTCAAATTTCCATATCTTTCAATTCTCGAATTTCCGAATTTCCATATCCTCTAATTCTCAAGCTTGCAAATTCTCATATCCTCCAATTTCCAAGCTTGCAAATTCTCATATTCCCCAATTTCCAAGCTTCCAAATTCTCATATTGCCCAATTTCCAAGCTTCTGAATTTTCATATCCCCCAATTTCCAAGCTTTCAAATTCTCATCTCCCCCAATTCCCAAATTTCTAAATTTTCAAGTCCCCCAATTCCCACGCTTGCAAATTCTCATATCCTCCAATTTCCACTCTTTCAAATTCTTATATTCCCCAATTTCCAAGCTTCCAAATTTTCAAACCCCCAATTTCCAAGCTTTCAAATTCCGATATCCCCCAATTCCCAAATTTCCAAATTTCCAAGTCCCCCAACTCCCAAGCATCCAAATTCCCATATCCCCCAATTCCCAAATTTCCAAATTTCCAAATTTCCAAATTTCCAAATTTCCAAATTTCCAAATTCCCATATCCCTTAATTCCCAAATTTCCAAATTTCCAAATTCCCATATCCCTCAATTCCCAAACTCCTAAATTTCCAAATCCCCCAATTCCCAAACTCTCAAATTTCCAAATCCTCAATTCCCACATCCCCCAATTCTCAAGCTTCCAAATTTCCAAATTCCCAATTCCCACGTCCCCCAATTCCAAACCTTCAAATTTCCATATCCCCCAATATCCAACCCTTCAAATCTCCAAATTCCCCACCTCTCAAACTTCCAAACCCCAAAATCTCCAATCCCCAAATAAAAAATTCCCAAATTCTCCAACCCTCGCATTCTGCAATCCAAATCCTAGCTACGCCAATGACCATCAGATTTCATCGCAGTAATCGTTTGATCTAAAATATGGTACATAGTACTTCCTGAACAGCTGCATTCTTACGAGCATTTAAGCTTATGGCAACGCTATAGGAAATCGTCAAACGATTTATATAATCGCAATCTTAGCTGGAAATCAATTTGCCTGTCGTTGGACGAGACTAACCATCAAAATCCAACGCAAGATACCTGAATTATTCTTGTACGTAATAAAATTTTCTAAATTGCCATCCTATCTTAACAGACTATATACACGGGTCTCTGGTCCTCTTGATTTTAAGACGAGCAGAGTCCTCGTTCCCTGAAGCGATCGTTGAGCTATTTGTCTCGAATCCTCGAGTTGTTAATGGTGCTTGTCCGATGGTAGTCCTTTGATGGCGAACGCTCCACGGAAGAAGGGTTTGAACACTTCTAGTACTGTCTGTGTTCTGCGGGCTGAGTTCTGAAAAGTGTTAAGAAAATTAGTGCTCAACAAAATTGTGCACGTGAAAATGTCAGATAACGGAGCAATTTGTAACGTTTAGCATGCATGGAAACTAGTCGAGATTTTGCAATGAAGTATAGTGAAAGGACTAGAACCGACGTCGAACGCTCGCGTATTTTTAGATGGCGAATAAAATGAAAAATTAAAGCGTACAACCATCTTGAGACTTGTCAGAAACTTTTATGGTTAATTCATTATCGTTAATGAAATTTTCTGATGTAAAATGTGAAACCAGTTGTCAATCGTTAACCGAAGCACAAAAGAAGAAAATACATTTATAATAAATTTATCCATTTAGTAAATTGTTCAATTGCTAAACCTCCGAATAACGAGTCACTCTGAATTCATTTTTGAACACATTGAAATTATGTAAATAGGCAACTTAATTTGCATCTGTATCACGTTCTATGTCACTGACCGATAAAAATCAGTAACGTTTACAACTTACTAGTATGACGCTACTGATGATTTTGCTGATATTGGTAATTAGGGTGAAACCAGTGCCGAACGCTTGCGCCGGTACCTCCAAGGACACTTTCATCCTATCGAACTCGGGGATATCCTCCGTGGTAGTAGAGACCGTAGCCTGAACAGCCAAAAAAATAAATGAAGCCGTACGCTTAACCTCTCTATAATTATAAATACGGTGAAAGAGAGAACGGGATCGATGCGAGGAGACACGTTTCTCTATCTATTTATATCGCGGATGCAGGATCTACGTGTGCCACATAACGTTCGATCTGCTAGAGTTAACTGTTCGATTATTCACTGTTTAACGCGACCTTTAATGGACAATCATTGTTTGACAATCATTAGATAGATAGGTTCATCTCTCTGCTTTGAAATTTTACAGTTGAATATCGATTAAAATTTTATTTGTCGAGTTTGGAGAGATGAACATTCAGACACCTCTGTCCTGAAGGTCTCTGAAGATCTTTTCCTGTTCTAATTAGCAACTAATCATCAATTTATTAAAATAACTAGATCTACTTATTCCAAAGAGGACAAGGAATGAAGGTGCACTCGTACACAAAGAACGTGATTTATTTAACATCCATATTATCATTACCATGGTCAACATTATCATAAGAGTGTACTTGAGAACCGTCAGGTATATCTATTTACATGATTCGCACAGCGTTCGAGATCACATCCCGGTGTGCAACTCCTAAAACATTATTTACAGCTCGCAACTGCGACGAATCGATTTCACAGGGGACATCTCGATGGCGGCGTTAGACCAGAAGTTAGTCTCTCGCTTTTTGTAAACATAGATTACTGTGTCGGGGAGGGCGTAATGGGGAGATCCTTTATCGGCGATGCTAAAAAGAAAAATTCACGTCGTACAATTTTGTCTGCTTCTGTTTGCATAGCGCGTCCATCGGTTTTAGTTTGCTTTTGGTTTTTTAGTTGGTTGGTTTTTTAGCGTCAGGGATCCTCTGTCAAGCGTGCGTTGCTGCTCGATCGCCCTTACGGGTCCAAAGTCGATGGTCCTCCGTCTCCATTTTCTCATACATTTCTAAGCCGCATAATACGCCCTTTCCGTGTGCGGTGGGTCGTATTCGTACTGTTTATGCACAACACTCATTTTAATCAGCGAGTTCAGCTTAAGCGTACGCTCGCGCTTGGACGATGACCCTGATCATCCAAGCGCGATGTTACATCGGAAGGAAGCTTGTTAGATCACTCAGAAGTTAGCGCTAGGGTTAGGTTAGCAGGCTGGATCTAGAAACTTAGCAATCTCTAACAATCTTAGAGCAATCGGTTAAACTGGAACATCCTTTAGCATAAAACCTGCATGCAACGATTAGCATTCATAGGATTAAACGAGAGCATCGAAAGTCTTCTGCTTCTGAATCGCTCCTGTCGAAGGCTACTTTCATTCTGTACCGATGACTTTCGAACGTCGAACAGGAAACAAGCAATTGGTGGGCACAGAAAGACTAGTTACATCCACGGTGAACATCCAAATTAGTCGCCACATACAGCAGCCGTATAACATTGAACAAGAACATGAAGTAGACAGAGAAAAGAAAGGAAACTGTTATTTTGAGCCTACCCCTCCGCCTATGCTCCCGAATGATCCACTCTCGTGGCTCGGTGAGTCGTGATGACCGCTGCCGTGGTTTTGGCTCAAGGACGACAGACTACCGAGTTTCGAGCTTAAGATGTTCCCCAGAATTGCAGCCGTGCTTCCTAGTCCACCGTGGTCGGCTGAAATACCCGCATTTTGTTTAGGTAAACAATGTGAGACTTGGTGATTAGGACTTGAGCGGACCTCTCAAGGGTGGTTTATAGAGCTAAAGATCAACTGTTGTTGGATCTATTTTAGACAGGAAGATTGTAATTTTTAATGGTTCTACTATTACTGACATATTGTCACGTCTATTGGTATTGACTCAGTGGAACATTGAAATTACAATGTTTAAAGGAGAATGAAGTTAGCACGGAGTATGGACTTCTGGACTTAAGAATAGAGTCAGTAGACTTAATTGTAACGTAGAAGCTAGAGTCTCTGTTTCAACCTTAGTCTAGTTAATAACGTCAGAGTAGAATCAGTAGAGTGATTGTAACATATAACTCAGCTAGAGTCTCTGTTTCAGCCATAGTGAAATTAGGACCTGACCAGACAGAATCAAGACTTCAAATTCCCAGTGTCAGTATTTTTACAAATCCTATAATCTCCTAAATGTCTACACCCATGAAAGTTCTGTTCAAGAAACCGTAATTATCCTTACCTCCACCCTCATGCGGGTGGTGTTCGTGTTTCGCGGCAGCACCAGCCGACAAACCACCAGCGATGGAGCTCAAAGGTGCAAGTTTCGATACCAAAGCTCCAGCGAAACCTGTCTTAGCGCCATTGATGAACGTTGTGGCGCTGTTTATCACTGGACCGATACTTCCGCTGGCTGCTTTGATCTTCGCCGCCACAAGTTCGCTGATGAATTTACTGGTAGCCGAATGTTTCGCGTCGATTCCGTACGCGGCGTTTTTCACCTTATTAGCTTCGTCCAGCGCTGACAGAGCCTTGGTTTTTGAGTCTAGGAAGGAGTCCAATTTCTGGAATGGAATTCCGACGTCAAGGATATGTTGTAACTTTCAAGATGTAAATGTTGAAGTTGTCTTACACCAAAGACGAAGTTTATGATCCCGTTTGACACTCCCAGCTTCACGACACCGATTTTCCTTTTGTCTCTGTTGGATCTGTCGTCGTCCGCAGCTTGGTCATCTTCAAGTTCCACGAGGTACACCTAATCGAACAGATTGTTTCAGCGTTTTCCTAGGAGGGAATTCTGAGCTTACCCGTTAAACGCGAAAGATCGAATTAAGTAACGGGCGAAAGGAGAGAAAGGTGAGGATATTATCGTTCAGTGAAACTTTGAGATTGTGACTCGAAGTGATACTCATTACCTCCAGTGCTAAGTCACGATACTTTGATAGTTCACGATACCTTAATATATTGGATTGCACCTTCAAGTAAATGTCATATTCTGAAGAGAGACTCAACGTGTCAGCGTTGCAGCTTCATCTGGGGTTAAATCCACATTCCGCTGTCAAAGTCTATTATTTCAATTTTATATATATTTCTACTTTTATGCTATATTTACATAAACGATCAAGAACAGTTTGGTTATTGACACAACATTTAATCATGCTGATCGACAGACATTTGACACATGCAACGTGCTCACATGTGACAGATTAAAATAGGACATGTACAGCAAGAATGTTTTAATTAGACGATTTTGAAACGAAGGACAAGACAAGTAAAAGAAGGCCGGAAATCTATACTAGAAACACGTATAGGTACAAATCGACGAGAGAAACGGGAAAAAGGTTTCGTTGCGTACGACCACGTGTCCGCTTCAGAATTTTAGTTACGCGCGCATGTCCGGCTCAACATGTCCGCGCTGCTGAACTTAGTCAACCACTTTCACTCTTTGCTCGTTCCTCGCGGTTCTCTCTTTTTCGTTCGTTACGTTTACACCGGCTGTTTCTGTGTCCTTTGCCCCGAGAACGAGGTTCAAGTCGCAAATTTTCGTTTCGTCACCGACAAGATAGAACTTCAAAATAGCTTTCACTTTCTTCGCATTTCGATTCCGATAACGCTCGCGATTTTCGTGTCGATTGACTCCACCGGCTTGTTAAATTCATTCAGTTGGATCACGAATTTAACAGACACGAAGAAAGTCTGTGGGACACGTAGCTCGAGTACTCAGGTGCTGGACATTTATTCTAGTAATATATGATAACTAAATAATTTTTATAGACTTGAGATTAAGTTTGCAGGTACTTATATCGTTAATAAAGTTGCAACATGTCTGATTACAACCCTGTAGCTGTTGACACGTTGAATACAATAAACTTTGACTAAACTTCATTTCTCCTTATGATAATTTCAGTCAGGTATTTTTAAAATTGCGCTAATTGACATACTTCTGTAAAAAACTACATAATTCAACACATCAAGTTTCTCAACAAAAGACACAATGTTTGCTTCAAAATAAAAATAAATGTTGATAAAGTACGATAATAAAGAATTGAAAAGTATGACACAAAAATAATAGGCTTTTAAGAGGGAAATCTATCCAGCAAAGTAACAAATTTCTATTATTAGAAATCTCACTCTTCGCAAACATGAAAGTGTCAACTAGCAGCTAGGTATTCCAATTAATACAGTTGAAATCATGATTTTACGTAATGTTGCTATTCCTCTCGCATCAATTTGCATCATCGTGCGCATCGAAGAATCCGAGACTTCCTGACACTCGACACAAAAACTCCTCGAGGAACGAAGCATACTTTCTCTGATCGATCGATCTTCGAAGACGTTAATGAATCTCTTACCTCGTTCAAAGGATTGAGATCCTCCGACTCTGCTTCCCTCTTGACGACCGGCCCGGAAGCTGCGTACGCGACCAGCACCGTCAAACCGAACAGCACGTAGGTTATCCTCATGTTGTCTTCTATATTTAATCCTGAGAAAAGCAAGGAACGATAAAACGTGAACACTGGAATGACACCTTTAAACCCGTGTCGAAATGTCAAGTGAAAGGACACTAACAAGATTTTGTCAGGCAATTATACAAGTGTCGCGAAGCGTAACGAAATACAAGTGTCTGTATAAGCGTAATTGAATAAAAATATAAAACGCGATAATGATAAGTGTTTCGTGTAGATTCCGAATGAGAGTTTTAATCGTAAAACAAAGTTTGAAAGGCCGGCCGGTGGAAGAATTTACCGCGATCCTTGAGGTGACACGTGGGAGTATGGAAGCACGTGGTTGAATTAGAGAAAGAAGAAAAAGGAAGAAAGGCGTCGATCAACTTACGAACAGAGAGTGCGTGTAGCAGCGCGAGTGCGTGAGATGTGTACCTGACGGAGCTCGAGGCTCGTTTGAGGACCACGGTGAAGGAGATCCCGATGTCTTAGCAAGCCGAAGGGGAAACGAAGCCAAGCATGTGTGCCCCTTCGAGAATCGAGAATCGAGCTTCGAGAATCGCACGCCTTTACCTACCAGGTGGGAGGCAGCTTCGATTTGCTCCGCGAATCCCACGCAACCTCGTTCTCTCGGCTCTTGAAATAGCCAGATCTGTCCCGCGAGTGCCACCACGCGAGTTTACGCAACCCTAGCGGAAGATCCCCTAGAAACGGGGATGGCATTTCAAAGTCGAATCCTTTGTGGATCGAGGACTCGTATCGTGGGATCGAGCAAAAGTGGGGCAAGTCATCGGTGCGTAGAAAAATATATTGTGCAATGAGGTGAAAACAAAATGTTATTCAAGATTTTTGAATCGCTGTCATAGTGAGATTGCAATTTGAGAAGTGATGTAAGAATGTTTAAATTTGTGAGCGATTTGGAACGTGATTCGTGTACAACTTGTGTGACGAAGAGGGTTCTAGAAGAGCGAATTATGTAATATTATTCAGGATTCTTTGAAGAAAATTCTTTTTGTAAAGTAATTTGTGTACAAAGCTATTGTTGATTGTAATGTGTATTGTTGGGAAGGAAGAAAAGATGGGTATTGTCCTTTTGAGAACAAGATTCTGATTGCTTAAGGAAGACAATTTTCTGCATTGTATTTTAAAGTAATATTCGTACTAATTCTTCCTGTCAATAGTTCTATAATTTTATAGTAGAATAAGATGATTGCATACAGTATCCTTGCTCAGTGCAAATAAAAATTTGCTCAGTAAAAATTTATAAAATTTTCTGACGTAGTCTTTAATTTCGATATCTCCCGTTCGCAACTATAATCGTAAAATTATACAACTAAGAAGGAAAGTAGGAACACCTACTTATATAATTAAATATTTATACGCGAGTCGATGCGTTCGTCAATCCCGATTTGGCGACCTAACCTAAAATGGTCGACACAAAGCGTTACTGTTTGATTATCGATGTAGCTATTACGACTAATTATAATTTTATTTTCGACGCCCGGTGCACTGTCGCTTTCTCACTGTTATCTCATACAACGTAGCATCGTAATGCCAATTACGCAACGTCCAGTTTCTCCAAATTAGACCATTCGCCTTTCTCGCTTTACATATTGTACTGTGTAACGAGGACGTGACAAAAACTCGATCTTATTGCTTTAATTAAAACCAGCTACTTTGTATGCCACATTATTTTTACTATCACCGTGACTAACACCTTGAAGGTATGTTTTATGGAAACTTCTGCAATCTTATGTTTATTGCTGACTTGATTAGCCTATTATGAATCGTTCTTGTTTCTACAAAATACTATGCTAGATCTTGAAGATTGCATACATACTATAACTCTTTGAAAGTATGTGAATTTTATTTTAATCTTATTTACGAAAACATTTGAGAAACATTGTGTCATGTGATAAACCTATATAATTCTGTCCCTTGTGTTTACACGAATTACTTGTAGATTTTAACCCTTGAAGTCAAGGATAATGGTGTAAAGTGTTTGTGAACACATAACACTAGTACACATCAAAGTAGTAACAGCTTTTCTCGTTTCAAGACTGCTTTATGGAATTTCTCAGAGGAAATAATTTAGCGAGTACTAAAACCACTGTTTATCAAAAATTAGATCTTAAGAATTGCACACTTGGTACTTGGAGAACCAGATGAAGTAATTTGGTTAGTAATTATACTTGCTCGCTTCGATCGTAAATGCTAATTGGAACAAACGGTACTTTCACCTTGACCATAATCTTGAAAGTACTAGGAATTTTTCGAATATTCAGAATACGAGATCTTTCATTATGATAAAGAAAGAATTTTTCGTAAACCACATTTTCTATCATATTACAGTATTAACTTATAGCAGCTGAACACATACGTTTATTCCATAATAAACGTTTGCATGTAAAATCTTTGTACATAAATTTGATAAGAAATGGTAACATGTCTTTGAACCCATTTCCTATGTATACATCAATAAATAAATTACTACAAATTAAAGTAACTCATTAATTTTGTAACATCGGTATTTCAACAATTTCGAAAGGCCTATTGAAATCTCGCGTTCTGTTGAATCGTAATAAATAACGAATATCAGAAGCTGAATTAATACGACTAGCTGACGTTATCGTGAAATTCGAAAGTACGATTCGAAATGCGACCCACGGACTGGCCGATAGAAATGATCAAGGACGCGTTTCCCTAGTTGGTTCTTGAATGCAACTGAATCGACGCTTGTGTCGGCTAATTCGAGCGCAGTCGGCGACCAACACGATACCCTACGTGCTCGAATTACTTTATTCGATACTTAGTTTTCCCTTAGAACGTTACGAAACTTAGTAAAAATTATTACCATTGAGGTTTGATGCCACTAGATTTAGATGAGGCAGGTAGGTGCAGAAATCTTTAGTATCATATGATAAAAGGTATTAGGGCTTTAGCATAATGTGCTGAAAGGTGGTTAATCTTTACTGTATTTTAGAAGACATTATAAGTTTACTATTTCATATTGAAAAGTACTATAAAAAACTGATCTTAACTTAATAAACTTAAGTACCGAAACTTAATGTTTTGAACTTCAATGTATCTAGATACCAATGTACTCACATTAAAGTAGTAAATTTAATCTAAAAAACCAATAAGTTCAGCATCTCTTAAAGTGTTTGAAAACTTTGGTATTCGATTGATTGATTCTTGTTACGGGCGTCGACTACTGTCATTAGCCCGTTGGTATTCGAAGAAGTATACGAGTATTAGTATTCTGTGGCAAAAGAATGGTTCAAACAATTTCGTGCATAATATATTTCAACTTCGAAGGTGGTCCTTGACTGAATTTCATGGAAGACGCGGTCAGTAGAGAAGATACGAGAGAATTATGTTAATTGTAGAGCACGCGAGCAAGCTTTGAATTTTAGGGAAACTTGCGTAATTGCGCTCATTCTGAAATACTTATTAATACTCATCACGTATCGAAGTGGGTCCACGTTACGAAAGTGTCGGCTTCACGCACGACAATAAAACGTTCATCCTTACTCGTCAAAGTACAACTTTTCACGAACAGGAAATTCATAAAAATTAATGGTTCAAACACTTGTTCACCATAGTTTAAACAACAGAAAGAATTACTGCATAAAGAATTAGCATTCGAAGTTATCATAACAGTTTCACCATAACTCCGCTTTTAAAAATACACCTAAAACGCTAAGATTAATGGCTAAATATTTTAAGATAAGCTCATAACATCGAAAGTGCGAATGCTATTTTAGAAAGGAGGTTTCGTCACCAACGATGGTTATCTCGTTCACAAAGTAAACAGAATAAACTTTTAAATACCATCGTTAAGAAAAAAGAAAATGGAGTAGAAATGCACGGGCGTAGAAACAGGCCATTTAAGTAGTACAAATATTGTGTGGTCAGACAGCCCGGTCGTCCTGTGGTGCCACACAGCGTCCAAATACAGAATCACGTCAGGTATTTCAATATCACGACAGGGTCAATGCAGTCCAATTCACAATTTTATTTATTTATTTTTCTTAGCGGAGTATTTATATCAAGCATTTATTTTATCAAAATTTGCAAATTTGTACGCAAATGGGCTCATTTATATTTTTAACTGCGATGAGTATTTTTATAGAATTTTTTCTAAACATAAATGTATTACTTTGGATAATTATACAGTAACCTAATTGTTAGTAATTCTTGTTACTACAAATATTGGATCTTAAAATTCGATCACAGAAGTTGGTGATTGCAGTTGATCGTTGAAGGTCAATAATTAATAATTGCAAGAGTGTAGTTTTAACCCTTAACTGGGGTTTAGAAAAGCGTACGTGTACCTGGGGTCTGTCAAAGACCAGTTAAGGGTTAAGTTGGATACTGTAGTCGGTAATTTGACCATTACCTTAGACACTAAAAGAACAGATAGAAACTGAAGCTCATAATACAAAAAAGAAAGAGGAACTCATGGAAGAAGCCGGAAGATACGTTACGTAAAGCCAGTATCGGTTTGCCGAATATGAAAGTCGATATCCGAGCGCGAAAGGCAACTGTACACCAAACGTTTCGGGAGTAAAATGGACCTTTTTGCGATCCCCGAAAAGTGGAACAAGGCAGAGAACGAAACGTCCACAGCCGGTTCCGGGGCGAGTAGGTTTACGCAACTATCTGATTCAAAAAGAAAGTGGATGCTCCGGTTCCTCTCATAAATTCGCGTCGCTTGGTCACGATCGATATTCCAACAGGCTCGTACAACCTTGTAATACATTACATCAGACGTTGCACTTCCTTAACAAGATCTCATCGATTTCGATAAATTCGCGAAGCACGCTCGCGCGACGAGAAAGTTGTAACTTTCCACGCGGTTGGAAAAAGTGCAAACATTCGTGATTTTCTTTTCTATGCGCGTATGATATCTATGAAATTATCCTAGGCGCCGATTAGACAGAAACGTTTACTCACCCGTCTCGTTCACCTCGAAGGCTCCAAAGATCGTCAACGATATTGCAACGCGTGCGTTTTTTCCACCGCTTAATCAGATCAAACGGTTAACTCGACGGGACGATAACTGGTTTGCCGACAAAAGTTGTACCCTTCTGAAATTATGTCGACAAAAAATCGCCGCAAAAACTGATAGAAAGTATTGTAGTCATTCCACTTTGAGGGGAACGGGAATGATATATAGTCACACACGAGAATATATAAAATGTTTTTTTCGTCGCACAGAGGTTCTCAATTTCTGATCGATCACAATCACCATCACTGCTTTTCGACACTCAACGCAGAAATCCGACACGGAATCGGCGTACCGTTTCTAACGCGAAGCCGATACGTCGCTGCGAGACGGTGCCGGAATAGAGACGAAGAGACGGCCGACACGAACGAGAAGGAAAGTCATGGGGAAATTGGTCGAACGGCACGTTGCTTCTGTCCACGGCGACGAAGGTGGGCGAAATTTATGGCGTAATTCCAATAAGTGCGTCACGCACAGCCAATCCACCTTTTTCATCTGCGTTTCCTGACACCCTGAAGATTGACGTGGCTCGCAATTATCTGCTGACAGATAATCTTCTTGCGCAAGGCGAAGAAATGAGAGGTTAAGTGGAGCAATGGGTCTAAGTCCACTTTCATACTGGATATGCGAGGATAAAATGGGGATGGTTTGGAAATTTTTTATTTTTAACTTGGTACAAATTTCTGAGTACATTTTTATATTTTATGTTTGTATTTTAAGTTTGAAGTTCTATATTTTTAATTTATGAATTCTTTGTTTCTGGGACTATAATCTCTAAATTTTTTATTTCTCAAATTATGTAACTTTAAGTTAGCAAATTCAGAAATGCTCAAATCTTTGAATTCAAGGTTTCAAGTTCCTAATTCCTTAATCCCTAGCTTTCCAAATTCCCAAATTTCCAAAATTCTCAACCTCTAATTGCTGGCCCAAAATTTCTAAATTTCCAAATTCCTAAGTTTTTAAATTTCCAATCTCCAAATTTCAAAATTCTCAATTTCCCAAATCCCCAAATTTAAAAATCTCCTAATCCCCAAATTCCAAAATTCTCAATTTCCCAAATCCTCAAATTTAAGAATCTTCAAATCTCCAAATTCCAAAATTATCAATTCCCGAAATCCCGAAATTTAAAAATCTCTAAATTCCAGAATTCTCAATTTCCCAAATCCTCAAATTTAAAAATCTTCAAATCCCCAAATTGCAAAATTATCAATTTCCGAAATCCCCAAATTTAAAAATCTCCCAATCTCTAAATTCTCAATTTCCCAAATCCCCAAATCCCTAAATTTCGAAATTTCCAATCTCCAAATTCCAAAATTCTCAATTTTCCATATCCTCAAATTTAAGAATCTCCAAATCCCCAAATTGCAAAATTATCAATTCCCTAAACCCCCAAATTTAGAAATCTCCCAATCTCCAAATTCCAAAATTCTCAATTTCCCAAATCCCCAAATCCCTAAATTTCAAAATTTCCAATCCCCAAATTGCAAAATTCTCAATTTCCCAAATCCTCAAATTTAAGAATCTCCAAATCCCCAAATTCCAAAATTATCAATTCCCTAAATCCCCAAATTTAGAAATCTCCCAATCTCTAAATTCCAAAATTCTCAATTTCCCAAATCCCCAAATCCCCAAATTCCCAAATCCCCAAATCCCTAAATTTCAAAATTTCCAATCCCCAAATTGCAAAATTATCAATTCCCTAAATCCCCAAATTTAAAAATCTCCCAATCCCCAAATTCCAAAATTCTCAATTTCCCAAATCCCCAAATCCCTAAATTCCGAAATTTCCAATCTCCAAGTCCCAAAACATTTCGCATACAATGCAAGGTAACACGTAATTGTTTCATTAGTGCGTTCTAACCCACTTTCACGCGTTTCAGAAGGTTGTTCTTAGTCACATCTGTCCACTTTCTCGATCGCATCGATTTGACCAAGTAAGTCGTCATCCGAGGTATCGATCGATGGACCATGGCATTCAACACTTTCCCTTTCACGAATTCGCACGGTTGCCATCACAAAGACTATTGGCGATATAATAGCGGAGAAGCCAACGAGCTTCTTCCTCGCAGTTTAGGTTGAATACCTTTACGTAACACATGCTCGTGTCCGTGCGTTACACGTATCCTTACGTATCTCAGTCGCGTGTAATGACTTCACGTGACCGTTAGGATTGATAGTAATGGGTATTAGATACTCGTATCTAAAAATTTGTTTGATTGGTAGAATATTTCGGGAAATTATATTTGAAAGGTAAAATTTTATTTCAAGGTAAAATTTTGTGGAATTTTAAGGTTAGATATGAAACTTTGTATGTACAGGTTTTATTTTCTATCTCTTAGTATTATTTAGCAATATTAGTACGACATGTATTGAGTGAATGTATTGACAGATCAACTTCTACTTATTTTTTAAATAAGATTTCAATTCTTACTTATTAAATTTAAACTTTCTTATAACTTATATTCTAAACTTGTCTTTCTGCGTTCAACTACTATTACTTTGCATTTACCATGCATCAATTACTATTATTACATGCTCCTAAGTGCAGCTACGATCAATTATATTCCAAGTGCATCATTATGCTTCCAAGTGCAACTACTATCAATTATCTGTTATTACGTATACTAATCACAAACTTCCAGTAACCTTTCAATAACCTTCCAGTGACCAGTAGCCAATTATCAACCTTCACCATCTTATTTTTCAATGATCAGTTTTGAACAAGATCTATAATCAGCTCGTAGCCATCGCTAGCTCATGCATATTCGTAAGCCGAATAAATATATCATCCTTCACTTTCTCTATAGAGCGCTGTCACGAAACTTCCTATACTATTTTTGCGAATCGTTTTCCCATATGAACGTCCGCGCGAGTTACGTTGATTCGATACTTAATTTCCTCCGAAAAAAAGAGCAGTAACATGCCGGTTACGGCATGGACGTAAAATGTTTCCGGGCCGGTGAAAGTCCACGTTAATCGTTCCATGAAAACGTCTCTCCGGATCCTCCCGAAAGATCGTAATTGTGTCACGCGGAAAGAAGTCCAAAGTGTGAATCAGTGAATCGACATTACTGATTCGTGGATGTAGTCCATCTTCGGGGAATGTTAGATCTCACATTACTGAAAGAAGCGTTGCTAATTGCAGAAACGAGTCTATTGCGATTGCTTGTCCCGTTTCGCAATTTTTGTAAATTGATTTGTTGGAAAAATTTGATCGAGCAAAGTATAGAATTTACAACCTGTGTCGCAATGTATGATAAAACTTGTAGTGTCACCATAAAAATTGTTCTCGATCATTTAGGTATAGCGGGATAATTAAAATGAAATAAGAAACGGGTTTTTAATATTTATTCATATTGCATTGACGTTCGGTATTTTATGGAGGTTTCCTAAGACTATTAATATTATTTTGCAAACTTTTGTAAATTTCCAAGGAATTCAACAATATGGAACATTAAGTTCTTATTTTAATTTAGTTCCTACGCCAATGATACTTTCTGCGAGTCAGTTATTTCAGAATTCCAACGCCTCTAAATAACAGTTATCCTATAAGAACATTGTTATTTCGTTACGTAAACCTTCATACGATCCGTTTACGTAATTATTATACGAAAACATTCGTCGGATGAAAATGAAATTTCACTTTCCTTCTGTAACTCGTTTTAGAACATCTAGTCGTTTAATATATTCTAGAAAGCAGGTTCTGTTCAACAATAAATCACACTTAATCGCGAAGAGTAATATATAAAAAACAAAAAAAGTGTATCAATTTTCGACAATTTCGGAAGTGTGACTCGTTAGGCTAAAGGTTAGTCTCGTTTGAAATGACACGTAACAATGCATGAATAGAAAGCGAAAGTAAAAGTCCTTCGGATCGTTGCATAATACTCGAACTTGTGAAATTTCCGGATGAAATGATACGTGGTCCAAGACCTTAAACTTTGCAGCTGCCTCGTATGATTTCCAATACATTTTTCGCTCGAGAAGTATTCCTGAACGTTATTAATAATTTCTTATTGGGGGTTGGAATTTTGGAAAATGGGAAATTGGGAAATTGGGAAATTTGGGAAATTGGGAGATTGGGAGATTGGGAGATTGGAAGATTGGGAGATTGGGAAATTTGGGAGATTGGGAATTTGAGAGATTGGAAAATTGGAAGATTGGGAAATTGGGAAATTGGGAGATTGGGAAATTGGGAGATTGGGAAATTGGGAGATTGGGAAATTGGGAGATTGGGAAATTGGGAGATTGGGAAATTGGGAGATTGGGAAATTGGGAGATTGGGAAATTGGGAGATTGGGAAATTGGGAGATTGGGAAATTGGGAGATTGGGAAATTGGGAGATTGGGAAATTGGGAGATTGGGAAATTGGGAGATTGGGAAATTGGGAGATTGGGAAATTGGGAGATTGGGAAATTGGGAGATTGGGAAATTGGGAGATTGGGAAATTGGGAGATTGGGAAATTGGGAGATTGGGAAATTGGGAGATTGGGAAATTGGGAGATTGGGAAATTGGGAGATTGGGAAATTGGGAGATTGGGAAATTGAGAGATTTGGAAATTGAGAGATTGGGAAATAGGAAGATTGGGAAATTGGGAGATTGGGAAATTGGGAAATTGGGAAATTGGGAAATTGGGAGACTGGGGAATTGGGAGATTGGGAAATTGGGAGATTGGGAAATTGGGAGACTGGGGAATTGGGAGATTGGGGAATTGGGAGATTGGGGAATTGGGAGATTGGGAAATTGGAAGATTGGGAAATTGGAAGATTGGGAAATTGAGAGATTTGGAAATTGAGAGATTGGGAAATTGGAAGATTGGGAAATTGAGAGATTGGGAAATTGGAAGATTGGGAAATTGGGAAATTGGGAGATTGGGAAATTGGAAGATTGGGAAATTGGAAGATCGGGAAATTGGAAGATTGGGAAATCGGAAGATTGGGAAATTGGAAGATTGGGAAACTAGGAAATTGGGAAATTGGGAAATTGGGAAATTGAAAGATTGGGAAATCGGAAGATTGGGAAATTGAGAGATTGGGAAATTGGAAGATTGGGAAATTGGGAAATTGGAAAACTGGGAAATTGGGAAATTGGAAAATTGGGAAATTGGGAAATTGGGAAATTGGCAAATTGAGAGATTGGGAAATTGAGAGATTAGGAAATTGGGAGATCTACATTGCAATGAATTAAATATTTCAGGTTTTAAGCTACAGCAGCCACAAACAAGAATATGACATTTAAAAATTATAACGAACCAGCTTTGATTGCGAATTCTGTACATTTTTCGAAAGTAACTCGTCAGTTTTTCTAAGCAATATATCTCGCACGCAAGTACTTGGAATCATTAAAAACCACGAACGGAAATAAACGTTTTATTTATTGGGTGCGATATGTGTAGCAATATAAGGTAATGGGCGAATAAGATGCCCGTCGCAGAGCTAATATATATGCGAAAATGATTTGTGAAATCAGTGCTAAATGCGAACATGTCACGGTATATCACCGATCTGAATTAATTACAAGGTTTACATAAACAAATATGGAAAGCGTTAGAATCCATTAAAACAGCAGTAAAAGCAGAACTAATCTTGTCTTCTCTAAGGCTTTCAATAACTAGCATTGTATACAAATGAATGGAC